ATTTCACATCATTTGTCTTGCCTTTTGTAGACTTCGTTGTTCGTTTTATAAAATTCTGAAGAGACGTGAAATTACGCCTCACAGATAGCTATTGCTGTTTTAGTTGGATTATGCCAACGTTTGGAGAGGGTTTCTGCTTATCCACAAACAAACAAACATCAGAACCCTTGAGGGGTACTATGCTGAAACAAACTGTATCAGGAGTCGGGCTGTGTCCTACTTTAGATCCCCAGTAAATGTCATTTCCTTTTACGGCCTTTAGTCTGAATATAAAGCTGTATAGTGCTTACCATATATATAAACCATACAACGACTAGCAGTGTCTGTGTCAATTGTTTGTTCTCTTTGAAGCTAAAGGGACATTTAATCACGTACTGTAATATAGGAAGCGGGGTTATTGAATATAGTAGAAACTTCAGGGAGGAAGTTTCTCGACTTAGTTTACCTTATGTCCTCAACTTACATAGCTTAGTGCATTGCAAATGGTAGTTGGAACATAAGCTACTATCAGAAACTGAAGAAAGAATTGGATTAGAGATAGGTTGACTTATCCTCAACAAAACGTGACAGTACAAGGAAATTCACTATAAAACATGGCTATTACAATATGCTTAATCTTGTAAGGACACTTAGCAAGGAAATTGCCATTCCAAAGCCAAGCCCATCTTAAAAGTTTCCCTTTTGGTTGGATAGCACTACATGAAGCTGTCTAACCCAACATAATTTAAGGAAAATGGGCTCATTCCATTCAATAGGTACTCGATATAAAAGGTACTGCATATCAAGGACCCTAATGATCTTTTCCCACTCTGTGGATTGTGGCAAGGTAGAAGCAGGATATGTTTCTAAATCTATTTGTTATTCAATGGGTGAAGCCGAGATCCATAATGGTAACATAACAACAGTGGATGCACGGGTCAAGAAGTATTTCCGAACAAAATATCTAGGCAGTGCTTACTATAAGTACAATAAACAAGAGAAGCAGGAACTTAGTATTAACCTGTTGACGCTTCTCCTTCTTCCTTTCATTCCGCTTGGCAGCTTTAGACTTGGGCTTTTCATCCATCACAGGATCATAACCCGGCGGAACATCCTGCAGTGACTCCATTTCCTTCTTCCACTGCACTCTCCCCCAGGCACCAATCAATCAAAACAAAAACACACTACATAATTTTTGAAAAAAAGAGAAAAACAAACAAACAAGTATGTTACATACAATAGCGCCTTTAGATTTGTAAATGGCGACTTCATCTTGAGGCACATAACCAGCCCTAATTCGAATAGGTTTACGGAGTGTTCCGTCAGGTCGTCTTGTTGGTGCGAGTAGTCTTTCCCCTTCTTTTAGGGTTTTGCCTAGCTCAGCTGCCAATTGTTTCGCTTCTTCCTCTCCTCTGGTCGTGCTGCTCGCCATTGCCGTTTCTCTCTCCGTTGATACTGATGTTTTTACAGAATCATCATATTTTGATATTTTAATACATGTTATAAAAATAATTTTTATTATATTCAACGTCTAATTATGTGAAATTCTTTAACAAATATGATTAGGAATATTTAATAAAGAATTTTTCTTTACGTTAAAAAAAGTTTCACAAATCTTAAATATTTGTCATAACTAATTACTATGTTTAGTGTCAGAAATTAATTAGGTGAGTCCCTTGAAGCTTGTGAGAGTCGACGGGCCGGGTTTCTATTTGTTAGTGTTTTGGGCCATAATATTTGCAGCAAGAATTGCTCTTGTAATCAATTTCGATCTTATTTTAACATTATTTAACTAATAGCCAACATTAATAAAAATTCCAGCCAAAGCCTGGTTTTTGTTTCTCTATTTTCTAGTTTCAAATGTACAGCAACAAATGTTGAAAGCAAAACTTACAAAAAATCACACTCAGAGACGTTTCGATAGTAATAAAAGCAAATATTATAAAACTTGAATTTTTAAATTTAGGTATGTTTGTATCGAGCTTAGGAATAAGGTCTTTTAGTATAGAATCAAACTTTAGAGAAAAGAATCAAAAAGTTATTCACACAATTTATAGGATTGACTTCAAATATTTTCTTACTTCTAAATTTTATTTTTATTAGTGTGGTGTTGATCTTGAAAAGGCTAAACTTAACAAAAAATTATACATTTCAAAAATAATTCTCAAATTGGCTATTTGTGCAAACCTGTGTTTGCTAAGATGGATAACAACCAGTCTTGTTATTTATTTAAAAATTAACCACAAACTTTTAAAATGTTATAAACTTGAACATTTTAAATTCTTCTTGCTCCACTATTTATTGGTTATATATATATATATAAAATGGTTGGGGTGTAAAAAGAACGAGGTAGGAATGAAAATGAGCTATTTGTGATCAATAAAAAGTATGATCGAATTTTATATTCTTTAGTCTTTGATCCTCACCTTAAGTAGTTTTATTTAGTTATAAAAGAAACCGTTTATTAAAAATGAGAGGATGACTAGAATTCAACAACAAATCATAAAAATTTCAAAACACTCTATTAATTGGACATTTGTATATATATAAATATTTTGTAAAATTTTACAATAGAAAGATTAAATTACGATCATTTAATTTTGTAAATTGTTAGAGAGATTTTTTTTTTGAAAAGAAACTTCAAAGGTACATCAATGAATAATAATTTGGTAGACCCTCGTAATTGTATCGAATTGTATTATGGACTCTTTTACTTAACTTTTTATCATTTGGACTCGTGAACTTAACCAAAATGAGATTTTTAAATTTCTCTGACCATATGTGTATCTCACTCTCCCTTACATAGATGACATTATATCCATATCATATCCATGACATATATATTAATGTCAAGTCATAATTTTCTTTATAATAATTTTTTAACTAATAATAAAAATATTAAATAAAAGACAAATTAAAAAAAAATCTATTTTATCAAATAAAATTAAATTATTATTTTTATACACATTCCCTAACCCATCATCACTGTCAATACTCCACCATCTCCATATCCCTATCTTTTTCTTCTTTGACTTTTTTCACAATCCAACAATCTGATGAAGTCATGAAACTACTTCACTCCCCCCGCTAGTGCTATTTTAATTTATTATTACCATCAAATCGGCGTCGTAAAAATCATTAGAATTCAATTGTAAAATCCAATATAGCATTTCTGATTTTTCGGCATGAATAGCAATACAAACTGATCGGAACAAGGTAGATAATCTCGTCGATGCCGGAGAAATTGATGGAGTCATTGCGTCGTCTTCATTTTTTACGGCGGCGTCCATTTTTGCCGGCGTCATCGCCATTTTTACTGGCAACATCAAAGTAACAACAACCTAACAACCATAATAACAACAACCAAGCCATCTAACAACCAGGTCTAACCAAACTTTTCATAAAACAATGCTAACTATTATTTACACCCCAAATTGCTTACAAATACAAGAATAATTTTACCACCAAAAGAGGTCAAATTACTCATTAGAGATATCAACAACTCCACTGATTTCTAATTTTTCTTTGCTTATTATGTTCAAAAAATTTTGCCAAATTTTATTTTTTATTTAGGGTAACAAAAAAAAATAAGAAAAAAGTTGAAAAGGAGCAATGAAAGACAGAAAGATAGAAATTCAGGTACGGGCGAGAAAAAAGAGGGAAAGTGATAATTGAAGAGGAAAAAAATAGGGATGGATGGGGAAAGAAGAAAGAAGTGAAAGAAAGATGAAGATAAATAATAATAGGGTGTGGATAAGAAAGAAAAATAGGTTGGGGTTGGGGTGGCTGGAAAAAAAGGTAGTGTGGGGAAGAAGATGGATGTAGTGTAGGGAAGAAGATGAAGTTTTTTTTCATTTTAAATTTATTTTTTAAAAAAAACAATTTTAACAACTTAAAAGTAAAAGTTAAAATTTTGATATCATGCTCACTTGCATCTATATTAATGCCACATAAGGATGATCAATAATCAGATGGGTTTAATATATTGTGTTATGTTGAATATAAGGGTCCAGATGACAAAAAACTAAATAGAAGAGTTTATAATACAATCCGATACAAGTACGAGGGTCCATCAGACTATGTTGCCAACATAAAAATATGTCTTAGTTTAAATGAATTTTAACGTTGAGAATGAATACCAATTGTTCCTTTTCAAATAACTATGAGATCATTGCATTGATACATCAAAATGAAGAATCAACAAAGAAACATATATCTTAAAACAATTTTGTGTTGTGATCTCAATTTTTTTGATTGAAATTTAACGTTGAGAATAAATAACAATGCCCCTTTCAAATAACCGTGAGATCATTACGTTTATACATTAAAATGAGGAACCAACAAATAAACATGTATCTTAAATTTTTTTTTTATTGAGATCCCAACTTTTTCATCACATACTTAAAAGTATTTGAAAGTTTTTGATTTTATTCATTAGCACAATCGAGTTTTACATTAGAGTAAAAAAAGCAAATACTGATGGAGATAATTCAAAGAGAAAATAAAAAATATTTAGAACTTACTAAAGTATAAACACATTGGAAAATCACATAATATATTTATATAACCGAAGATGAATAAATATGAAAAGGAAACAACCCATGTGCGAAATTTTGAAATAGAAGAAGAAAGTTGAAAGTATTTTGAAAGAGAATCGTTTAATTGAAATTTAATTGCTTTTACATATTAAATATCTATTAATCGGGCCAATTAATTCGGATAAGATTAATATAGTTGGACAAAATTGTGATCCAAATTGACAAACACTTTTTTTAATTTTCCAGTGTCAGCTTAATAGCCAAATAAGTGAAACAATGACTTAACGTCCCTAAATTTTAAGGCCTCAATTTGTTTTATTAATACTTTTTCTGCAATGTTTTCTACGTAATTCTTTTTTTTCAAAAAGTAAAAAAATTTACGAATTTATATTTGAATTTACCGACAATATTAGTTGAATTTATAATCTTCTTATGTGGTCATGCTTCTTTTCTTTTTTTTTAAAAAAAAGAATCATTAAAATGACCCTTACGGCAAATGACCCGAAATCAAGAAAATGGATCCAAACTCAACTTTTCATCTTCTCTTCTCTCTCCTTATAAGAAAAAGACGAAAAATAAATAAATTCCAACTTCCTTCAGCTTTGGAATTTTGCCAGTTCTCTCCGAGGGAAATAATAAGTATGTTTCTCGTTAGATCTCTCTCTGCAATAATCATTATAATATTGTAAAACACGATTTTATAATTTCTATTTGTAAATTTTACAGATAAACATGTGATAATTGCTTGAAGGTTTAATGATATTTAATTTTTCCTATAATATAATTGAGTAATATGCATTGTGCGTTTGTGTGAACTGCCACAGCCTATTTTTTAAGCATTCTGTGGAATTTGAGACAGAATTATTAATACAATAAAGAATATTACCATATTCAAGAATGATTAAACTACAAACTATTGCACTTAAAGGGTCTCTAGTGGTAAATAAAGGTGATTTCTTCCCTGCATTCTAGTGTCAGCCTTGATAAATAGAGTTACTAATACCTGTTGAGGAGCTGGATAGAGTTAACTGATACCTATTGATTTGAAAGGGAGGTATAAATCATCATAATTTTTGGCCGGAGCCAATATTTGTACCTTATGTGTTCTGGATTCTAGGACACGGCCTTAGCCCTCAAATGCTAGTAACTGAATTCTAGTTGTAACTTTTGAACATATTTAGTGATTCTTTTAACACAGATACGACGTTTAGATCAAAGCTACTATGTTATGACGAATCAACATGTATGTACTACATCTGCTCTGCTGTTTTTAGCAGATGTTAACTCGGTACAAACACTGGCCTAATTGGTTCAAAAGATAAAACTCTCATTTCCTCATGAAAAATGTAATGACTGCATTAAGAGCACTTTTTTTCATCAATCTGATGTAGGTGAAAATCCAGAAGCTATTCATATGAAAAATTGCCAGGTTTGTTTTCTAGTTATCAAACCTTAACAGTTGGTAAGTCTTTTCTGAAGTACTAGAATCCCAACAATTGAAAGAAATGCAAAATGATTTTTAGTGCAAGTGAAGATTTTGTAAAATAGAGTGCTTTTTGGAAACTCAGCAAGTCATCAATGTTTTTCTAATGCAATAGAGTAAATCACGAAAACCGTGTCCAATCAGCATCTGGAGTACTAGTTTTATCAGGTATTACACACCTCTTTATCTTAGTATCAGGCACAGGATTTAAAAAGAATGTTTAAATGTAGCAAAGTAAAATCAAGTATCATAGAAGACATTATTGTTGGAATGAATTTTGCAAAGAAAGCAGTAAGGTGCAACCATTTCCCATTTTTGCCATCTGTGGTTCAAGCATTTGAATCTGTGTCTGATCTTCCAAGATATGTTCATTCAGATATCTATTAGACAGGAGCTTTAATCCTGCAAACTGTGTTCTGCTGTTTCAGACTTTTTATCCTTGTCGAGATTGCCTGCAAATTCATGAGTGGCAAATGGAATTTTCTGTGTGAGAACTTCTCTCCTTGAGTGGTTAAGGAGTCACTTCTGAACTCATGTGAATAATAAGTAAAAGATACATAAAGATAAATTTAGAAACATGCTATTGAAACTTCCATGCACATACTGTATTTTTTCTGATTATGTATGCATATACAATCTATTTTAAGTAATATGTCCATCTGCTCTCCCTTACCACATATTAATTAGATTCCTTTTTGCTTGTAGAGATGATGGAGACATTCTCTTCCCTCCTTTACACTATTCTCTATATGCTACTCTTACTACATGTTATGAATGTGATCAAGTAATCTGCTGTTTTGGGAACTTTTTAGGAAATGTTAAAGATTATGCTAGAACAATTATCATGATATGACTACAATGTTGAGAATAATCTCTATTAACTTTTGTAACCGACCCCTTGTTCCCTATAGATTGTATTGTTCCCTTTTAGGTTAGTTGCAAAATGCTTTCCGCTTTTCTAAATTGCAACTTGCAAGTATTGTTCCGTCAATTAAAATCTTCCCAAAAAGAATTTATTGCTCTATTTGTTTTTAAAATGCTTTTTGCTTTCCTTTAAATTAAAATTTGGCTTCTTTTCCTATTTATCCCCTTTTTAAAATTACACTACAAAAATATTGATATAAGTTTAGCACCTATATAGAGCCTCTGTTAATACTATTTCTCCTTGTTTAAAAAGAAAGTTATATGGAGATCATTTTATTATTCTATGAATCAATTTATGAGAAAAAAATTTGAAAAATCACAAACACTATACTTGTCCAATTTCTCTATGTTTTTCAATTTCCTCATGGCTAGAATTTTTGCAGACCATTTCCTCTAGGGTGTGGATAGTGGGAGCAGACTCGGAGAACTTCCCAGTCATGATGCAGTTACACCAAGGGTTGACTCAGTCCTTTTTTTTTCTGCTCTGGTTGTGATGGATGTACTGACATGGCATATCCAAGATAGGGTGTCATGGTGTATGTTATTCGTAGATGACATAATACTGATTGATGAGACTCACAGTGGTGCTACACATGAAATTCGTGTAGAAGTGAGGTTTGACACTCATGTCATCCCCAAGAGAAGATGTTTCAAGTGTATGGGGTCTTTAATTCAAGCTAGTGTAGAGATCAATGATGACATCACACATCGTATTCGTGTGGGATAGGCGAAATAAGATGGCCTCCAGAGTCTTATGTGTTTAAAAGGTACTGCCAAGACTTAAAAGTAAGTTCTATAGCTATTCATTTCATATTATTTTGTTGTTTCTATTGCTCTTTTTTCTACATTTCCTTTTCCTAGCTGCTTGGATATGCTTTATTTTAAGTTGAGGGTCTATCTGAAACAACCTCTTTATCTCTATTAGGCAGAGGTAACATTTGCGTACACTCTACCCTTTTTAGACCCACTTGTGGGTTTACACTGGGTTTGTTGTATTTTCTCTAGGAAAACAAGTTCCTAAAAATGTGGAAAATGACTTCCCTAGTAGAATTAGGAAAACAAGTTCCTTAAGTGTCATTTCACACTAATTGACTAATCCCTCTCTCCAACGCCCCTAGCCCCATAGCCCTTGCAATCCATAGCAATCCAATGTTGTTTGCTTATGTATACAAATACTAATGGGCCAATGTTTTCTGCATATATACTGAACATCAAAAAATAAGTATGAAAACTTCGTATTTTCAAGGATAACATTTTCCTTTATACCAAACACACCTAACATGATTTCAACTTTTCTCCTTGCATAGCAAAACTAGTTTGTAGAATTTCACAATGGAAATATGATTCACATTTTTTTTTTGTGTAGATTTACCCACACTTGTCTTTCCAATATGTGATGTTTGTTTGATTTCAATTTTGTAGAGCTTTCTAAAGGAGATTTATTAACCTAAACAAACTTAAGCAGATATGTACCTTGGGTTGTGGAGAGCCGTGGTCATCCTCTTGGCCTCTTAACTGCGCTTCCTAGTTTTGCTCCATCTCCCTGAGAATGTAGTTTCTGGCCGGAGACCTTGAACAATGAATGTCAAGCAGTAACCAAATAAGGAACCTCAAGTAGTTATGAAATATGCAAGGATGTAACAAATCACAAAAGAGGTTTAGCATATACTATTACCTAAGTTTCTGCGACTATAACCAATACATTAACATTAGTTTGAAATTCACAATTTGAATTCTAGACTGCATTAATAAGTTTGTGTTTCAAAATCATATGTTTTGCTGTTGATGTTGATAATGATTATTTTGACAAGTAAAGGAATTTTATATGGTGTGTGGAGCAGCAATAGTAATGAAACTACACGTATATTAGCTATTTTCTGTGTTGTCTACTCTAACATTAGTTGTAATGTCAAAGCATCCTGTTAGAGCAAAATTACAGAAATAGGCTTGCCGGTAAAGAAGTAAAGTTAATTTGGAAGACAACACGGAGGTGTACTTTTTGACTTTGAAATCCTCAGTTGCAAGTTTTGTGTTAAGTTATCATGTTATGTTCCTTTTATCAAGATTGATTCTTGTACATGTATCATATAGTAGAAAATCTTGGCTCCACCATCTATCTTTTTCTCTTTTGACATAGAATTATATCTCCCGCCAATTCTACTTCCTTGTTTGGCAAAATATCAACTTTGTAGATGCATCATACAAAGGTACAACCCAAAAGTAGCCCTTTTCAGTTGTATGATGCTTTGGAGCCAAAGATATGCTTATCCAGTCCCATGAGTCATTCCATTGAGTCCTTTTTCAGCTATCATAATTTACATTGCTCTGTCACCGATCAAAAGAATGACAGAGATTTGAACGTTCACATTTCTTCCCACGTCCCGTTTTCTTTTCTAAGGAGTAGTATATCTTACTCTCTTCTCCCCTTTCTTTTGTTTTAGTACTTCCTGCCCTCCTACGAAGTTTTATGATCGTGAAGTCTATATATTTTTCGGTTTCTGCAATTGTTTGTTGCTAGAGTAGCAATATAAGTTGTTGAATATCACTAAGGATTGTTGTCGTTTGACTTTTAATATGTCTACTTTATTTCGGAATCCAAATATATAGAGAGTGATGGAATCACAACTACTATATCTAAAGGTAACTAATAAATAGTAAATAACGAGGTTCGGCAAACTTTTGTCTTTTTTTGCCTACTCCTCTGACACACCAATATTTATTTCACTCCAAAAGAGTACCAAGTGAAATATTACAAGAGATAAAGAAGAACAAATGCCTTGGGAGATGAGAATGCAAGTAAGAGGCGTGTTACAAATGAATTAGGAGCTACCTATTCATAGGAGTGAATTCTTCCTATTGATGTCATCCATGACATCACAATATGTAAAAATGTCAAGATTTACCTTGTGAAACCAATTTATTGTTCACCTAAATTTCACCTACAAAAGGTGCTATCTTGACTTTTCTACCAATAAAGAATTATCCTCCTAACTGCCATATCTTCTCATTAATCCATTTTTGAATCTTGTCAAATTTAACAAATCTCCACCTTGGCAAGATTCTCCATTTTCAACTTTCTCTCAACAACAATTTTGATTGTGTCTTCAACCTCAATCTTCAATGTTCAACAATGTTGATCAAGTTCAAACAATGTTGAAACTTGACCGCAGTCACCACTTTTGTCAACATACCGGCAGGATTATCCGTAGTATGAATTTTCTGCATTATGACTCCACCATCTTCTATGATGTCTCGTATGAAATGATATCGGACGTCAATGTGTGTCGTCCTTGAATGATAAACTTAGTTTTTTGCTAATTGAATAACACTCTGACTATTACACAATATTGTGATTCCTTCTTGTCCAATACCAAGCTCTCTAAGCAATTCTTGAAGCCAAATTGCTTCCTTTGCAGCCTCTGTAATTGCTATGTACTCTGCCTCAGCGGTAGACAAAGCAACTGTTGACTGCAAAGTAGACTTCCTACTAACTTGTGCATTTGCTATAGTGAAAACATAACAAGTAGTTGATCTTCGTTTGTCCAGATCACCTGCATAATCCGAGTCACAATATCCAACAAGATATTGACTATCTTAATGCTCGAAAACCAAACTAACATCTACAGTATTATGAATATACCGTAGAATTCATTTTAACAGCCTGCCAATGATCCTTTCAGGATTGTGCATGTTCCTGCGTACAACTCCAATATCGTGTGAAATATCTGGCCTTGTGCAAACCTTGGCATACATCAAGCTACCAATAGCATTACCTGTATGGTACTCTTGACATATATTCTCGTTTAGCTTCATTCTTAGGTGACATAACATCACTAAGTTTAAAATGAGGAGTAAGTGGAGTGCTAACCGACTTCGTTTTTTCATTCATACCGAATTAGTGTAGTACTCTCTTCAAATATTCTTTCTGAGATAAATAGAGTTTCTTTGAATGTCTATCTCTTTTTATCTCCATGCCAAGAATCTTCTTTGCCTCACCCTAATCTTTCATCTCAAACTCCTTTCTTAGTTGAATTTTTAGCTTCTCAATTTCCTCTTGACTTTTAGAAGCTATCAACATATCATCAACATATAGGAGAAGATATATAAAGGAATTATCTTCAAGCTTGCGCAAATACACACAATGATCGTATTTGGTTCTTATGTACCTTTGCTGCAACATAAACTTGTCAAATCGTTTGTACCATTGTCTAGAAGATTATTTCAATCCGTACAATGATTTTTCAAGTTTGCACACCATATTTTCTTTTCCATCAACTTTGAATCCTTCTGGCTGAGTCATATAGATTTCCTCTTCCAAGTCTCCATGTAAAAATGCAGTTTTTACATCCAACTGAACTAGTTCCAAATTCAACTGGGCTACCAAAGCCAACAAAACTCTAATGGAGGAGTGTTTCACAACTGGAGGAAATACCTCATTATAATCAATTCTCTCCTTTTGAGCATATCCGTTGGCCACCAATCTTGCTTTGTAGCGAACATCTTTTTGGTTAGGAAATCCTTCTTTCTTTGCAAATACCCATTTGCACCCAATTACTTTCTTGCCCTTCGGGAGATTGGCCAATCTCCATGTATGATTCTGATGAAGGGACTACATTTCTTCATCCATGGCAATCCTCCACTTATCTTCTTGTGAACTTTGGACTGCGTCTTTATAAGTGGTAAGAATGCCATTAGCTGCAATTGACTTAACACAAGCCACCATATCTGTGAGTCGAGGAGGTTTTCTTATTGTCCTTTTTGGCTTGCTGGTTGCTATTCAAGTTGTGGTTGAGTTTCTTGAGATGGAACCTCCTCTTCGACTGACTTTCCTTCAAGAGGAAAATCTTTTGTTGTTTCCTCGTTTGATCCATGTGTTGGGAAAATTATCTTTCCCTCAAACTCCACCTGCTTTGAAGCACCATCAATTTGTTTGGCTTCTTCAAGTGTTACCTTATTTGTCAAGGCAGATTCATCAAAGGTAACATCCATGCTGAAAATAACTTTTCTCGTCTCTGGACACCATAAACGGTATCCGTCTACTCCAAAAGTAATTCCCATAGATAAAACTTTCTTTGCTTTTGGGTCCAATTTTGACTCTCTTACATGATAATATGCAATTGAGCCAATTGAAAAAGAACATCAAGGACCTCGCCTTGCCACATTCCGAAATGTCCTGACCCGTCAAAAATTTCAACTGCAAATTTCGCATTTGACACAATTCTTGTCATAAGCGAAGATGCCAATGATGACGTATTATTGACACTCGATGTGGACTTATCATTTTTCTTGTCTCTCATTTTACTACAAATACTGTTTACTAGCTAGCAATGCAGTGACCGAAGTAAATCTTTTTCTGATGTGGAAGTTCAGACTATGCTGCAACCACAGATCATACTCAGATAATACCTTGACTCTGATACCTATTGTTGCGGAAGCCGAATATATAGAGAGTGATGGAATCACAACTACTATATCTAAAGGTAACTAATAAATAGTAAATAAGACGACAGTAAAAAGAACACCAAGAATTAAGGAGGTTTGGCAAACTTTTATCTTCTTTTGCCTACTCCTCAACCAACCAATATTTATTTCACTCCAAAAGAGTACAAGTGAAATACTACAAGAGAGAAAGAAGAACAAATGCCTTAGGAGATGAGAAGGCAAGAAAAAGGTGTGTTACAAATGAATTAGGAGCTACCTATTTATAGGAGTGAATTCTTCCTATTGATGTCATCCATGACATCACAATATGTCAAAATGTCAAGATTTACCTTGTGAAACCAATTTATTGTTCACCTAAATTTCACTTACAAAAGGTGCTATCTTGACTTTTCTACCAATGAAGAATTATCCTCCTAACTACCATATCTTCTCATTAATCCATTTTTGAATCTTGTCAAATTTAACATACTTTTTATTACTTCAAAGTCTACTAAGTAATATAAAAGTATAAATCTAGTTTGAAGAGATTGCTCCTGGATAATGTATTGATGGCTCGCCAGCTTCTCTTGAGTGTAAATATTATTGGAAGGTGTAGTGTCTTATAGACTTGTCCTTATAACTTAAAAGGAGATTGAAGAGACTTTTTGGTTGACTTAGTTTCAAAATTTTTTGTGGTTGATCATACCTTATCTTAAAGCTGATATACCCATTTCTTCAATAGTCAGGCGCTCATCTCCGTATGAAGAAGAAAATCCAATAGTTGCATTTACAGAATAATTTATTGACATACCCTTGATATAGTATCCATATGATGTGGGGCGAGTCTATTTTCGCGTCAATTGCTTTCCCCCTCTCATTTCCAGTAGGTTCATTTTGCACACAGCCACATGATGTAGTATATTATTATTTATCCTGAAGCAAAGTATAATGCAAGACATTACAGTTGTAATGACAAGCATATGTAAGTCAAATTCACTTTGAGATGTTACAATGTAAGGACTAACAAACTTGTAGATAAGCACACGGTGATAGACATTGGAATTGACATACTAAATGCACCTAAAAACCAGAATTTTCCTTATCTAATTCATGGAAATTCCATCCAATAAAACGGAATGTTTGCCGGATCCTGCACATAGCGGTAGCTTTAGTGCACCGGGCTGCCCTATTGAATCGTATGCATGCATCTCAAAATTCACTATATGGATTTTCTACAGGCACATTCATTGAGGAAGAGGCATTATCTTCTGCCATTTAAAATTGAGACGTCGAGCGTTCTGTAGTTGTAGTTGGTGATACAAGCAACATAGCTCCAAGACCAATCTCATTTGGAGGAATGTATTTGTTCCTTGCATATATTAGAGTAGCATCTTCACCCCTGTTTGGTATATTTTCAAATTCTGGTTCCTGTAGATTGTTGTGAAGTTGCCTATGGAGTCTTTTGACAGGTGACAAACTGAGCTGTGTAAGCTCTGATCTCTTTCTTTTTGTGACACTGTTAGGATTCCATAAAGGATCTTTGTCTGCTTCACCTAACAAAAGGTAAATGCTAGTGCACATAAAACAATAAGGTCTTAATACAATAGATTTTTTTTATTTTGGTCAAACTAGTATTATTTGTATGGTTAAAGTATAGTTGGACCGGTCAACAAAAGTCAAAAGAAGTGGTGGAGGATCATCCCACAATGCATCTGGTCGACAATTTGGAGTGAGAGAAATGGGAAGTGTTATGAAGATGATCCAATTTCATCCAGAAAGTTAAATGGAATTGTATAATATCTTTCTACTTTTGGTGTAAAGAAGTAGGTTTTAGAGGATATAGATCAATTTGTAGATTTATTAACATCTCTGTTAGTATCTTATTTCTATTTGTTTTTTTAATCTAACACTTTTGGATGGTGTCCAGCATTTCCTTAATGCACATTTACCAGTTTCAAAAAAACAACATTAATTATCAAAATTTAGGGGAGACACTATAATTAATGGCCTATGAGCAAGAAAGAAACCGAAGATTGTGCTTGTAGAGTATCATATGGTAATTACTTCCCTACGGCTTATTTGTTTAAATCCTGAGTGATTTGACATTACATAATTTGACACGCACATCACAATAATTGGAAAACGAAAGAAATTCCTGCATAAAAATAAATCCAAGTGTCGTGAACCTTGATACATGCTTATCAAGTTGTATTAGAGATCGTGGTGTAAGTGATTCTCTTGAGAAGTAGACACCAACAAAAATAACCACTTGGACAGTGGGAGAATGCTGATAAAATTTTCTGTTTCACTGTTAAATTTGTTGTGTAGGGTCTGTAGATTCTTCTCCTGTTTTCAGCTCCTTCTTTGGAGATGGGGGTTCAAATTTGTCCATTTCTAATCAATAGAATAAGAGAAGTTTGTAATTGGAATCATATTAATATTGGGTGAACTGTTTCTTCCTTTTCTTTTGAATCAGAATACTATGCACTGCAGGATTACTTTTTGGGAAGGTGCATCTACATTGATTGGTTGCCTAAATTCATCTATCTCATAATTTTCTTTCAGACTAAGGGCTCGTTTGGTACGAGTGATAAGGGATAACTAATCTTGGGATTAATTTTAGGATGAGCTTATCCCATGTTTAGCTGGGATATATCATGGGATAAGTTATCCCGGAATTAGTTATTCCGGGATTTTAGTGTTATTTTTATTCCAGATTGAGGGTGGGATAACAATCCCAGGATAACTCGTCCCCCGACCAAACATGCCCTTAGAGTTTTGCGCTTACTATCATGCAAAACAGAAGAAAGAAATTGGCCAGAAATTGAGTAGGAAGATATTAGTTTTTCATTTTTTTAAACCCGTACTCTTATGAAAAGGATTTGATTTAGAACATGTAGCTTATTTGCTGAGACAAGTTAAGGTGTTCTCTATATATGTGAAAGTATTTTACCATTTGTTTCTTCCATCTGCATGAAGTTAACTGAGGATGATCCTGCTGAAACTAAGCTTGGTGTGCTATTCATTTCCTCTTCAAGACAAGCTGAAGATCCCTCCTGTCCAGAAACCTCTACTCCAACTTCTAGCCTTTGGTTATCTCGAGCTAAGAGACCCGGATTCATCTCTGCAGGTAACTGATTGCTCTGTGTTTCTCGGTTTGCATGTCTGGGAATATAGTTCTGTAGCGTCCCCCTAATGCGCCACCTTGATCCACATGCATTGCAGAGCACTGGTTTTTCAGCTGGCCCAAGTCTCCAATGGCGGGTTTCTGTTTGGGCTCAAAATTTATTAGTGTTTAAACTGGGATAAATATGAATAAAATTCTTGCAGATCAGAAAGTAAAGCACAATGATCAATGACAATTAAGATTTTCTATAAAAAAGATATAGAATGTATTGCACGAGAGAGAAAGCGTCATGAAACTAGAGCATGTGTGATTAAAAACAAGAGAAAATTTCCTTGTGCGAAACATATATAGACTTTTAGGATGCTTCAACTGTTTCTTTAATCATCACCATGTGAAAGAACCATACAAAAGAGTTGAACTTTAAGTTTGATGGTAGAAAGATCGAAAAGATTTGCTTGATATGTTGAGGAACCATGCAAAATAGTTAATCTCTTGACAGACTGCATTTTTTGCATGAAATTTTAAGTAGGAAAGTTACCATCTTAACCGACAATAATTACGGTATAATATTCAACAGGTACTTTCTTTCTGTAGTGCTCAACCGTAAACCCCCCCTCCGAGGTGGATCTGCATGCCACTGAAATAACCATGGGCGACCATGTACGATCCTCCAGAACAATAGTTGTAAGTCTTTCTTGCTGTCCCTAGACTGCTCCGCTTGGGTAACCCCTCAAGATCCCTAACACCTCTCTTGTTGCTTTCTTGATGCAGTCAATGTCTTAGCCCACATATTATCTACATCCTCGCTAGCTCCATTGCCTTTTTTGTCGTCTTAAACCTCTCACTATTCCTCCTTGTCTAAGCTTTCACTAACATCTTGTAAACCTTCTTGGCTATCATTGCTCCTTGGACCTCTTCATTCCACCACCAATGCCTTCTGTGCCTGTCTGGGTGTTGCTTCTCTGATGTAGTCAGTTATCCTAGCCTATATACTGTTTGCATCCTCACTACTCCCTGAAATCCTCAAAGACACTTACTTTTCTCCAACTTCCTAAGTATTGGCTTCAATCTGGACTCCCATTAAATCCTTGGTTGGCATATGCGGTCCTTTTCTTCTTTTTTTTGATAAAGTAATTAAATGATATTAGAATGCGAAGTTACAAAAGCACCGTGTGCAAAAAAGCTGCTCCAAACAGAAAATATGGAGCTAGCTTGGCAAAAACTTGTGAAACAGTCAATAGGGAACCCTACTACTCCACTGTACTAGAGATAGGTAACTAACAAAATCCGAAAGGTTATCCACACTGTTTACATTGGCAAAAAAGTGCCAGCTAAATAAACTAACTAGACATTGGGCTTTAAGAGTGCATAAAGAGGTTGATATTCCATTAAAACATCTGTTGTTTCTCTCTTTCCATATGCTCCAAAAAATGGCTGCTGGGATCATTCTCCAGATCTTTCTGATGGATTTGTCAACTTTCCACAATATCCAGCTGGCATAAGCATCCTTCATGTTGTAGGGCATTACCCATTGTAGGCCAAGCATAGAGTAGAAATAATACCATAAGCTAATTGTTGCAGGGTAGTGCAAAAAAAGGTGATTAACACTCTCATTGGTTTGCTTGCACATGACACATCTGTTGATGAGGATTACACCTTTTTTCCTGAAGTTGTCTTGTGTTAGACATGCTTCCTTCAAGGCTGTCCAGGTGAACCAAGAAACTCTGAGGGGTTGCCTAGTTTTCCAGACATGTTTCCAAGGCCAAATTAGTAGAATGCCATTTTGGGAGCTCAAATTTTTGTAGCATTCTTTCACAGTGTAGGTCTTCTCCTTAGAATTACCCCAAAGAATCTTGTTTTGATCTTCGATCACCAATGTAGTGTTTTGCAGAGTTTCTAAGAGGGAAAGGAGGTCATTAATCTCCCAATCCTGGAAGTCCCTTCTGAAAATAGGTGTCCAATAGTTGTTGTCTCTGTACTGGGCTATATCCTTTTCTTCTTCATCCTATTGATTTCTAAATCCATAACCACGAGCTTATGTTGGGTTGTAAGATCCCCTCTCCTGATCCAGTCCTTGCATAAACCTTTATCACATTTTCTAAGGAGCAAATAATGTATCTGAGTCTTAACCACCACCCTACAAAAGGTCACAAGTGCTCCTCCTTCTTCTAGAAGCTGGAATTAGCTATGATCAACTCGATAACTTTCACGAAGTTTAAAAGCATAACTTCTCCATTTCTATCCCCAAAGCTGAAAGTGCCTTGTACATCATCATATACTCTCGGAGTGGTCCCTACGTGACCCCTAAAATCCCCTCATAAAATTAGTTTCTCAGTATGCGGGATAACTCTTACAATCTCGTCCAACTCCTCCCAGAACAAAGAAATTTTTTTTGCCCTCCTCGTCCAAACCTGTTTGCTGCACAAATTCACTAGTTACCTTAATTGTTAGCCCTCCCAAAACTAGCTAATGAACATTATCTTATCATTCACCTCCTAATCTCTACCGCGTGCTCATTGAGTTCCTTGTCTACTACATGCCTACTCTATTTCTACTCCTCGATCTTCTTGAGTACCATAACTTAAATCCATCTACATCCCTGGCCTTGGTTCCTACCCATTTGGTTTCTTGAACACAAGCTATATTGATCTTCCGCTTCATAAGAATCTTCACTAACTCTATCGGCTTCCTCGTCAATGTCCCTATGTTTCAAGACCCAACTCTCAACCTCTAAGATCTCCCTTGGTACCCTTACCACCCCTGCCCCCGCCTCCCGCCTCCCGCTGCCAATCAAGTACATGACCATAAACTACATCAAACCCTGAATCCATTTATGCCAGTTATAAAATAATCAAATGTACAATAAACAACAAAAAATGGGCAACCCTTAACAACAAATACCCTAAATCTTAAAATTGACATTTACACAATAAAATGACGAAATTATATATAAGCAATAAACTATTGAAAAGATATTTTTCAAAGTAGAAACCAAGAATGCAGTAGTATTTATAAGCACGCAACACTAAATTCACGAACGCAATATCAGATTATGGAAATCAGTTAACAAGCAAGCAAGAAGAATAAGGGGCTTCACAATCTGTTAAGGAAAAATCAGATTTAGACAGGCGAATCTAGGATTTCTAGAACATGGGTTCACCTCTAAAAAGGAAGGAAAAATGTACTGAGTGCAAACATATAATATTATTTAACCAAGTGTTTCCAAGTCCTCTTAAGTAAATAACTAAATATTAAACCAAGTGCACCATTTAACCTTTGTATTATGGGTGCCAACATATAATATTATTGGTTGCACCAGGGATCGACCCTTAGCCTGTTCCTTTTTGCCTTAGTGATGGATGAATTGACACGATTTATTCAATGAAAGGTATTGTGGTTTATGCCATTCGCAGATTGACATAGTATAAAATAACGAGATATGGGATGGAGTTAAAGAAAAACTGGAAGTTTTGAGACAGATCATAGAAACTAAAGTTTTCAGGTAGCTTGAATGACGTAACACTTGAGGCAGAGGTGGAAGTGAGGAACGACTCACAAATCATACACAAGACCAAGAGAGGAAACTTCAAGTATCTTGGGTCCATTATAGTAGACATAATGATTGATGATGTTTCACATCATATTGGAGTAGGGTGGTAAATTGAAGGCACACATCCCGGGTTTGGACCTACATTGTTGTATGTGGCACAATGCTTGTCAGGCACGTTCAGAAGATGAATGTAGGAGAGATGAGAATGCTCAGATGGATTTGTGCGCGTACTAAGAGAGATTAGATTAGGAATGAAGGTATATTGGGCAAGGTGGGAGTAACCTATAGAGGTAAGTAAGGGGAGGTTCATGCTTGTGGTACATGAAAAAACCCTAGGTAGTGGAGAAGAGTGGTGTCAAACGATTCAATAGATGGGAACTGAATGTGCATGTATGGCAGGGATTGGGGACCAAATCTACTGTTTATCCTAATGACCTCAATTCCTGTTAGACTAATGACAGATTTTTTGAAAATTAATTAACATTTGGCTCCAAAGATGAGAAAATTAAAGCACTCTGATTTATTTTTAACAGATGCACCATTTAGGGAAATTAGGGTATTTAGTGTTTCATGCATGTGAGTCTTCAAAATTTAATTGCTGAACATCAGGCACATAAATCCTAGCATAACTGAATCAAGTACCCTGGAAAGCATAAGATTGTTGATAAAAAATAAAAGATGGGATATAGGGGGTGAATAGAATATACGCTTGATGCCACAATGGTGACATGGACCTTGTTTCACCATAAGATCTGATTATGAATGATTCAGTTCAAATCAGGTTGAATTTGCTGCTTCTAACTATTAGAGTTCGATTTGCTCTCAAAATCTGAAATGTCTGTGAGGGACGGGTCACAAAATATATAGACAGATAAGAATTTGGTAGACTACAGCTGGTCCTTTATATGGAAATAGATGGATTATGATAGATTTTTCATTAACTTCTTTCTCTATTCTGAATTATTCTTTTTTCCCCTCACGACAGCTCATCAACTTTGATTACGGTAATTTCTCAACTATATAATCTAGAACTCCAATGAGAGAAGTCTTAGATTCTCTATCAAATGAAAAAAGGATTGTGATTTGGGGCGTGGTGTGCGTGGGGTGAATGCTGGATTTGGTCAAGGCTTATTAAGCAATGAATCTTAGGTCAAGGAAGTGTTAATAGTTTCAAGACGATAATTCAAATATCTAAGGGTGAGAAAATAAAAGTTTCCAAATAATAAGGATGCATAATGCAATTTTTCCTGCGATTGTGGAATCAGATTAAGTATTGAAAAATCAAAGGAAGGCCCTCAGATTACATTACTGAGAGAAGATCTAGAAAAGAATGACTACATTCAATTTATATCCAATAATGTTTTTACATCCATTTCCCCCCTTGCACTAGTACAATAATCCATCGATCATTTTGCCTAAATATAAGATGGTTTCATTAATAATATGCAGGTGAGAATTGAAGTTCATACTGGTGGCTCCATGACTGATAATTGGATAAATTTCTTATTTGGTGAGTATGCCTCAACTTGTGAAATAAATTGAGAAGATACATATATTAACATAGACCTGGCTATTTCCTTGAAATTTTTTTTCAAGACTTTGGCTCATTGATTCTGATAATCTGATGCACCCGAAAATCACAGTATTGTGAGGTTTGCAAAAGTTCAAGCATCTTAAGGCAATGTTGGCCTAGTAAAAAAGAGTTTTAGAAAGAACAAACCACATTTGTTTGTTATCAGGACAATTGTTTTCTAGAAGAACAAACAAACATCATATCATATATTTATATAAAAGTGAACCCTAGGCCCCCCTATGTGGTGCCACCACAAACCAGAATTCCCTTTTAACTTATTTATTTCCAAAATTAGAGCCTGTTTGGCTCAGCTTAAAAGCTGGTCAAACTGACTTAAAAGCTGATTTTTGACTTATTTAAATGTTTGGCAATACTCAAAATAGCTTATTTTAAGTTAAAAAAACTTATTTTAAGCCAAAAAGTTAAAAGCTGGGGTAGGGGTGCTTTTTTTTTTTAGCTTATAAGCTGTTTTAAGTTGACCACATTTTTATGTTTTTTCCCTTAATATTTTTATACAATCTCCAAATTACCCATATAACCCTAACATCTCTTTCTTCTATTTTTCCCTTTTCACGTTTGACATAACAACTTCAGCACTTTTATCCAAACGCATAACTGCTTATTTTAAAAATAAGTTTCAGCACTTTCAAAAGTACTTTTTTAAAGCTGCTTTTAATTAAGCCCATCAAAACGGGCCCTTAGTTTTCTCTTTCATGAAAAGTCACGACTTTTATGAAAAAATTTGCGACTTTTTATGAAAAGTTGCGACTTTTACGAAGAGTTGCGACTTTAATGAAGAGCTGTGTCTTTTATGAAAAGTTGCATCTTTTATTAAAAATTGAGACTTTTATGAAAAATTGTGACTTGTCCAAAGAGTTTTGACTTTTTTGATAAGGCACCATAAACATTGATCCACCCTATCCTTTGTTGTCTATAAATAGAGGGATTTTCTATCATTTAACACAAAAAAATTCTGAACTTTTTCTTCAACTGCTGCACAATTAAATATTTGTGCACTTTGCTCCTGTTTACTGGCTCACTGACACTATTGATTTTGTATCAAAACACTTAGAATCGTTCTGTTCTGAGAGGATCTATTCCTTTAAACCTCGGGTATTAGAATGAAAAAAATTTCTTAAGGGGATAATGTGCATTCAGTGGGTTCAACCTTTTGCTTTATGTTTCATTTTATTATTAAAGATCCTGTTATTTTTTTTTATAATCATTAGTTTATGCTTATTTATTAATTTTTTTTGAGTACATGTTTTAAACTTTGTTGTTTATGTTTATGCTTTTGATCATTATGCTGAAGTAAAGATCTGTTAATAAAAAATTTAATGTAATCATTAGACTATTGGTGTCATGTAGATTAGAATTCTTTAACTTGTAAAATAAAGGGAAAAGGGTCTGATATACCCCTCAACTTTGTCATTTACAGCTGATATGCCCCTTGTTATGAAAGTGACTCATATATACCCCTACTTGTAAACAAATGACTCACATATACCCTTTTGCTCTAACGGAAATGAAAAAAATAATAATTTTATTTTTATTTTTTATTATTTTTTCTAAAAAATATAATCCTATATGAGTAAATTTAATCCTCGTCAACATATTTTTTTGACTTTTTTTTATTTCAATGACTAATTTATAATTATTATTTTGATAATCAGATTTATTTATGTTTCACTAATATTCTTGTAAAACTTATTGTAGATAGACCAAATTTTTTCTTCGAATACGAAATTAAATTACAATTCACACTAAAAAGATAGTTTAATTTTTTTTCTTTAAACTAAGGAATGAAAGAAAAAAACAAAATAAGAATAAGAAACTCAAATAAATATAATAAAAGAAGTCAAAAAATAATTTATGTATGAAAAAATTAAAATATACCTTGAACTTTGATAGAAGAATCATATATACCCCTAAATAATTTTTTTTTAAAATTAGAATTAATAAATATAAATTTAAAACTAATTTTTTAACTTCCGCTAAATGAAGGGTATATGTGAGCCATTTTGCAACGGCAGAGGTATATGTGAGCCGTTTGTATAACGGTAAGGGTATATATGAGCCACTTTTATAACGAGGGATATATCAGCTCCAAATGACAAAGTTGGGGTATATCAGACCCTTTTCCCTAAAATAAATGACTTTGATCTTTATAGAGTTTTCAGTGGCTAAAAGATCCATGCGATGTCCAAGAAGGGACTTTGAGTGTTCAAAAGTAATGGTGGTTCCACACTAACTTGGAGTTTTATTTATTCAACTTTCCATCTCATCGAGACATTCAATCGATTAGTGACAACCTAAAAATAAAGGAATTTAGTGGGATGGTAAGTATTATACTCAATCTTAATCAAACGTTTGGGGTTCAATGTTGAGTTGGAGTCAACGAATCACCCCTCAAAGTAGGATGAATCTATATCAATGAAATATTAAAGAAATAATTATCTCCTTATAAACTTTAGATTAAAAGTTACAAAAAATAAAGTTTTTACCATGTTGATCGAAACCTAAACAACAACAAATTAGTGTCATCGACTGCCGATATTTTGAATAAGGGACTTGCGAAGACATCATTTAATCCAAATTATTTGGTTGACATATGTTATTGCATTGAAATCCAAGATGTATAATAAACTTATCAAGTACACACCTAATTATATAAGATGTATAATATTTAGATTCTGTATGTAGAGGCCTTGAATATGAGAAAAATTCTTGCAGTTGATGAATAAAATGTTTGAACCACTTTTTGAAAATACAAATATAGACAATGAAACAATTACATATCTTTTCGAAAGACTTTGGTGATGAACAACCATAGTAAAATGAATAATTAATAACAAAATCCATAAACACTAAGAATCAATTTTTTTTAGTTTTAAGATTAATTTTTTTTTTCATATCTTCTTTGGATAAAATATTCTTGAAAATTTATCATAGGATTGTACTCTCTCGAAAACACTTATATTATCAAATGTTCAGAAGTAGATTATTGACATAGTTCACTATCACGCGAAGCAGAAAAACTCTCGAAGTTGATGAATAAAATGTTTGAACCACTTTTTGAAAATACAAATAAAGACAATGAAACAATTACATATATTTTCGAAAGACGTTGGTGATGAAGAACTACGGTAAAATGAAGAATATATAACAAAATCCATAAACACTTAGAATCAAATCTTTTGCGTTTTAAGATTAAAAAACATTTTATATCTTCTTTGGATAAATTATTCTTGAAATTTATCATAGGGTTGTACTCTCTCGAAAACACTTATATTATCAAATGTTCAGAAGTAGATTATTGACATAATTCACCACCGCACGAAGCACGGGTAATTTACCTAGTTTTCAAAAGAAAACAAAATAATTTTTTTGGTCAGTTTTGTTTTACTCAAACCAAAATTGAACCAACTTCTACATTAGCCCCCAAATTCTTAATATTATCACTTTATACCTCTTCTTGTAAATGAATTTACTGTTTCATAACCTTCTTTTCCAAAAAGAAATGAAAAGTAAATCAACTCCCAAGAACTTCCCAATAGACTGTTTGAACACACCATAGTGAGTTTCCAAATCATGAATGTTCTCATGTTTTTGTTGGCAGTTTTAATGTCACTTTAAGAGGTCCTTATCTCAACATTAGTCCTGAAAATTAGACTCATAATTTTTTGGTAAGTTGATATTGACGCATCTTAACAAGATTTCCTTGTTCTTGAAATTCAGATATCCTATTATGGTCTTAGCAACCGCTTTATTGTTTAGTCGACTTGGTTACGAAAGTTTCTTTTTTTAGGTGAGAGTTTCTTGCTACCGAGATGCAGCAACGACACATATTTTTTCCATCTTACCATGCTTGCGCATTTATATGCCACCATTGACAGAATTTCATGTACTTATCCTTTTATGGCATTAGAGGGATTGAGGAAGATAAGGAGCCCAACATCTTTTCAAATAATTTTTTGCCCCTTTTCTTTCTAATTGGAACTTTATTCAAGATTCCGTATTGAAATTATGTTTTATTCATGATTCAGTATCCAAGACTGAAGAATTTCATTTTAAGACAATTTAGGAGAACCCAAGAACTCGCCTATATAAATATGTCAAGTAAAAATTTCCAATCCAAGCAAGAATATTACTGCAATTATCTTTTGATAGTAGTAATTTGGTCAGTATTTATTTGATGGTGTGGAGTATGCTAAGTTATTTATTAGAGGATGCAGCTATTAGGTTGTGAATAAAACCTTTTTGGCGGGTAACAATAATTTGCTGCTTTCCTGGTTAGAGAAAAAGGGTTTTATAAGGAATAATGTTCTCCACCCTTAGTTCCAGTAGTTTCATTGTGGATAGCGACATGATCCATTATATTATTATTTATTCTGAAACAAAGTACAATGCAAGACATTGAAGTTGTAATGACAAGCATATGTAAGTCAAATGCCCTTTGAGATGTCACAATGTAAATCTACCACGATGTCGACAAAAACTAACAAGCTTGTAGGTAAGCACACAGAGATAAACATTGGAATTAACATATTAAATGCATCTAAAAAGTAGAATTTGACATATCTAATTCATGGAAATTCCACCCAATAAAACGGAACTTTCCCAAGACCCCACCACATAGCGGAATCTTAATTGCACCGGGCTGCCCTATTGAATCTTATGCATGCACCTCAAATTCACTTAGAGATTTGGATTTTCTACTGGAACATTCATTGAGCAACAAGCATTATCTTCTGCCATTGGAGATAGAGACGTGCAGCGTTCGGTAGTAGTAGTTGGTGATACGAGCAGCATACCTCCAAGACCAATCTCATTAGGAGGAACGTATTTGTTCCTTGCATAAATTATAGTAGCATCTTCACCACCATCTGGTATGTTTCCAAATTCTGGTTCCTGTAGAATGTTATAAAGTTGCCTCCGGAGTCTTTCGACACGTGACAAAATGTGTTGTGCAAGCTCTGATCTCTTTCTTTTTGGGACACTATTAGGATTCCAGATAGGATCTTTGTCTGCTTCTCCCAACAAAAGGTAAATGTTAAGTGCACATAAAACAATAAGGTATTAATACAACAGATTTATTTTGGTCAAGCTAGTATTATTTGTATGATTAAAATATAGCTGGACTTGTTCGTTCATATCTTTATTGAAAATCCTCAATTTCAGTTCACTGAGTAAAGGAAAGTTAGTTCTCAAAATTTAGGGGAGACACTAAAATAAATGACCATTTAGCAAGAAAGAAACCAAAGACTATGCTTGTAGCGTATCATATAGTAATTAGTTCCCTACGGCTTATTTGGTAAAATCCTGAATGTGATTTGACATTATATAATTTGACATGCACATCACAATAATTGGAAAACGAAAGCAATTTCCTGCAAAAAATAAATTCATGTATCGTGAATAAGATACATGCTTATCAAGTGTTCTTAGAGCTCATGGTGTAAATGATTTTTTTGAATATTATACCAACATAAAACAACCACTTGGACAGTGGAAGCATGCTGATAAAATTTTCTGTCTCACGGTTAAATTTGTTGTGTATGGTCTGTAGATTCTCTTCCCCAGTTTTCTGCTCCTTTTTTGGGGGTGGTTCAAATTATTCATTTCCAATCAATAGAATAAGAGAAGTTCGTAATTGGAATCAATAGTATTATTGGGTTAACTGTTTCTTCCTTTTCTTTTTTGAATCAGAATTCTATGCACTGCAAAATTACTTTTTTTGGTAAGGTGCAACTACAATGATTTTGTTGCCGAATTTCACCTATCTCTTAAATTCTTTGTGACTAAGGGCTCGTTTGGTTCGAAAGATAAGGGATAACTAATCTTGGGATTAATTTTAGGATGAGCTTATCCCATGTTCAGTGTAGATAAGATCACAGGATAACTTATCCCGGAATTAGTTATCCCGGGATTGTAGTGTTATTTTTTCCCACTTTGAGGGTGGGATAACAATCCCGTGATAACTCGTTCCCAACTAAACGTGCCCTAAGAGTTTTGCGATTACTGTCATGCAAAACAGAAGAAAGAAATTTGCCAGAAATTGAGTAGAAACATACGAGTTTCCACTTTCTTAATACTTGTATGCTTAAGAAAGGATTTGATTCAGAACATGCATCATATTTGCGGGGACATGTTAAGTGCTTTCTATATATGTGGAAGTATTTTACCATTTGTTTCTTCCATCTGCATGTTCTGTGTTTCTCTGTTTGCATGTCTGGGAATATAGTTATGTAGTGTCCCCATAACGCGCCACCTTGTTCCACAAGCATTGCAGAGCACTGGTTTTTCAGGTGGCCCAGGTCTCCAATGGGGGGTTTCTGTTTGAATTCAAAATTAATTAGTGTTTACACTAAAGCGCAATGATCATTGACAATAAAGATTTTCTATAAAACAAAGGTAGAGAATGGAAGTGTCACGAAACTAGAGCATGTATAATATTAAAAACAAGTGGAAATTTCCTTGTGTGAAACATGCATTGACTTTAAGGATGTTAAGGAACCATACAAGAAAGTTAAAGTTAGCTATAACCACGAGCTTATGTTGGGCCGTAAGATCCAGTCATTGCATAAACCTCTTTCACATTCTCTAGGGAGCAAAGAATCTATATGAGTCTTAGCCACCACACTACAAAATCTCCTCCCTCTTCTAAAAACTGGAATCAGCTATGATCATCTCGATAGCTTTCTCAAAGTTTAAAAGAAAGCTCCTCATTTTCTATCCCTAAAGCCGAAAGTGCCTTGTACATCATCATATCCTCTCGAAGTGGTCCCTATGTGACTTATAAAATCCCCTCATAAAATTAGTTTCATAACTCTGACAACCTAGTCGTACTCCTCCAAGAACAAAGAAGTTTTTTTGATCTCCTCGTCCAAACCTGTTTGCTGCACATATCCCTCCCAAAACTAGCTTAATGAACATTAACTTATCATTCACCCTCCTAATTTATACTGCTTGCTCCTTGAGTTCCTTGTCTACTAAAAGCCTACTCTATTTCTACTCCTCGATCTTCTTTAGTACCATAACTTAAATCCATCTACATCTTTGACCTTGGTTCCTACCCATTTGGTTTCTTGTACACAAGCTTTATTGATCTTCCTCTTCATAAGAATCTTCACTAACTGTATCAATTTCCTTGTCAATGTCCCTACGTATCAAGACCTAACTTTGAACCTAGGATCTCCCTTGGTACCCTCACCACCCCGGCCCTGCTGCCAATCAAGTAAATGACCGTAAACTACATCAAACCCTGAAGCCACTAACACCAGTTATAGAGTAATCAAGTGTGCAATAAACAACAAAAAATGGGCAGCCCATAAGGACAAATACCCTGAATCTTAACATTGACAGTCACGCAATACAATGAGGATAATAAATAGAAGAATTAAACTATAGAAAAGATATTGTTCAAAATAGGAACCAAAAAATGCAGTAGTATTTATAGCAGCGCAGAAATAAATTCATGAACACGATATCAGATTAAGGAAATTTGTAAACAAGCAAGCAGCAATAAGGGACTGCACAGTCTTTTAAGGTAAAATCAGATTTAGACAAACGAATCTAGGATTTCTAGAACACGGGTGCACCCCTAAAAAAAGAAGGAAAAAATGTAGTGAGTAGGAAGTGATTCTAGGTCCTCTAAGTAAATAACCAAATATTTAATTAAGTGCACCATTGAGACTTTTTGTAGCGTGGCTGCCAACATCTAATATTATTGGGAGGAGGCTTGGAACACTTTTCGGTTATGATGGGGTTGCACTAGAGATCGACCCTTAGCCTGCTCCCTTTTGCCATAGTGATGGATGAATTGACACGATATATTCAATGAAGGGTATTCTGGTTTTTGCCATTCCAGATGACATAGTATAGAATAACAAGACATGGGGTGGAGTTAAACGAAAAACTGGAAGTTCTGGGACAGATCTTACAGAATAAAGTTTTTAGGTTAAGCAAAGCTAAAACGTCTTTCGTGTGTAACTTCAATGACGTAACTTGAAGAAGAGGTGGAAGTGAGGAATGACTCACAAATCCTATTCAAGACCACAAGAGGAAGCTTCAAGTATCTTGGGTCCTTAGTTAGAGGCTTATGATGTCGCACATCATATTGGAGTAGGGTGGGTAAATTGAAGGCATGCATCCCGGGGTACTTTGTGATAAAAATGTGTTGCCATGGCTTAAAGGTATGTTCCATAAAGTGGTGGTTAGACCTACATTGTTGTATGTGGTAAGGGGTTGTTCATGCTTGTGGTGCGTGTAAAAACCCTAGTGAGTGGTGAAGAGTGGTGTTTTGGGGGTACATCATCTAAAAAGTTAGGACAATGGTTTTCAAAAGATTAAATAATTGGGAACTAGATGTGCATGGGTGGTAGGGATTGGGGACCAAATCCACAATTTATCCTTAATGACCTCAGTTCCTTTCAGACTAATAGCAGATGTACTGAAAATTAATAAACATTTGGCTTGATCAATGAAAAAAGTACTGTACTCGATGTTTTATTTTTTAGCAGATGCACCATTTTATGGAAATCTGGGTGGAAATTTGGGTATTTAACATTTATGCATGTGAGTCTTCAAAATTCATTTGCTGAACAAGTACATAAATCTTAAGCATAACCTAGTTAAGTATCCTGTAAAGCATGAGATTATTGGTAAACATAAAAGATGGGATATAGGTTGTGTGTAGAACTTACTCTTGATGCCACAATGGAGACATGGACCTCCTCTACCCATAAGATCAGTTCAAATTAGGTTGAATTTGCTGCTGCTAACCTGAAAAGTTTGATTTGCTCTCAAAATGTAAAATGTCTGAGTGAGGTGATGAATCACAATATATATAGACAGTTAAGAATTTGGTACTATAGCTGGTCCTTTTATGGAAATTGATGAATTATGATAGATTTGTCATTAACTTCAATTTCTTTCCAATAATGCTTTCTTACACCCAGAAAGAACTACTACATTCTATTTATTTTCAATAATGCTTTTTTACATCCATTTCCCCTTGCACTGGTACAATAATCAAATCGACCGTTTTGCCTAAATATATGGGGTTCTCATTCTTACTCTGCAGGTGAGAGTTGAAGTCCATACAGGTGGCTCTGTGACTGATAAATGGATAAATTTCTTATTAGGTATGTATGCCTCAACTTGTGAATTAAATTAAGAAGATATAGGTATTAACATAGAGCTGGCTATTTCCTTGGAAATATTCTTTAAGACTCTGGCTCCTCGATTTCAGATATTCTGAAGGCAATGTTGCCTTGGTAAAAGAGGATCTTAAAAAGAACAAACCATGTTTGTTGATTATCAGGAACTAAATTGTTTTCTAGAAGAACAAACAAACATTTTTAAAAGAAAACAAAACAAAAAAAACTTGTCTTTTTTCTTTTACTCAAACCAAAATTGAACCAACTTCTGCATTAGCCCCAAATTCTAAATATTATCAATTTGGCCCTCTTCTCCTAAACTGTTTCATTAACTTTCTTTTCCAGAAAGAACTGAAATGAAAATCAATTTCCAAAGACTTCCCAATAGTTTGTTTGAGCACACCTTAGTGAGTTGCCAAATCATGAATGTTTCTCATGTTTTTCTTGGCAGTTTTGATGTCAATTTATGAGGTCGTTATCTCAAAATTAGTCCTGAAAAATAGATTCACAATTTTTTGGTGAGATGATAATGACTCATCTTAAAAAAGATTTCCTTGTTCTTGAAATGCAGATATCCTATTATTGTCTTAGCTACCGTTTTATTGAGGGGAAGTTTACTGACGTAACCATGAGACTCACAGGGAAGTGAGGCTTGATACCAGGACATCCAAACGAGAGGAAGTATCAAGTATCTTGGGTCTATTCTCTAAAGATACGGGAATGATATCACAGATCATATTGTTGCCAAGTGGATGAAATAGAGTTCGCTTCTAAGGTCTTGTGTGATTAAGAGAAGCTGCCACCAAAACTTAAAGTCAGGTTCTATAGAGTTTGACCAACTTTGTTGTATGGGGCGGAATGTTGGACAAGGTGGAGCTAAGCTATATTGGTTTTCTGAAGCGGGAATAGAAGAAAAAGTGAGCGCTTATATGACTGAAGCGAGAAGAGAGAAAGGAACGAAAGGCGCGTATTAGCGAGTTCGATTGCTGCGACGGGTTTTATATTAAAATTTTTGTAAAAACATACTCATGGGATTTCTCTTCCTAAACATCTGCTTAGAGTTCGACTGCTAGGAGCCTGTGACTTCTCTTCGAGGTAAGTTCTTCTCTTATTTTTTATTCTATCTTCTCCTCTTCTTCTTATCTCTATTTTCTCTGCTGCTACTCAACTGCACTGCTGGTGCAGGGTTATTCTTTTCTCTTCTCTATTATTTTCTTTAGTTTGCTCTGTTTTTTTCTCTATTTATCAAAAAAAGAATAGTATGTTTTGTAATTTCTTTGTCTGTTCTAACAAATAATAAATGCCATATTCCACAAATTCCAGAAAGAAATAGGGAAAAAGAGAATTCAAGAGGACCACAAGTATCAAAATAAAGATAAATACGAGTGCACTTACTTGATATTTTGGTATTATCGTAATAAAGGAGCTTTCAGAGTCTCATTGTGCAAATCTTTTCTGCTTTGTAATGTTTTCCGCTGTATTTGTCTCCGTTCTGCTTTTTTCTTTTACTTCTTTTCTGTTTAGTGATGTTTTTGGTTATTTATCTATGCAAAATTCGTTTTTTTGTATTAAATTGGTTATGACTCTCTTGCATAATTTATATAGAATTTGGTTATAAACTTTACTACTGCTGAGAGAAAATCATGCCTTTCCTCCAAATACCATTTGCGCAAGTCAAACTCATGATAGGTGAGCAAAGTCACACACACTGGTTTAGCGGTTTGTTGTGCTCTGTGATCTAAATCTTCTCCAACACCCTATGTGTCATGCTTCTTTAGCATAGTAGGACTTTAAATACGCTATTGTGTGAAAGGAACATAGATGTTCTGGCTTAGCCTCTGCCTCTTTGTGATGATTTAACAAAGTTACCATACCTATTACTGTTGAACCATCAATTGAGAAATTTCTCTTGTATCTAATAAGAAAGAGACTTGGATATTTGTTGTTTAATTTTATATCGAGAAGTATCTGATTTTCATCTTAATAACATTTTATATGAGCAAATTAATGATCAATATATAATGGCATATTGATTCAAGAAACATCAAGCACAGTAAGTAACCAACAAGAAATGCACATTTTGAGGGTGATTGTATCGTTTTATTCACTTTTTTTTCTCTCCGAGTAAATTAATATATTGCTTTCAACTGATTTTTTATGAATCGGGATCTATCGAAATTAATCTTTCTCTATTTAAACTAGTATAAGGTCTACATATATTCTATTCTCCAGACTCACTTTACGGAATTGGTATATTGTTTTGATAAAATTAGGGGTAGGATAAGGGAAAAAGGAATTAGGTGATTACAAGGTGGAGAATTGAATCTTAACAAAGTTACTATTCTCCTATACTTTTAACACCTTAATCTTTAATAAAAGTAAAATAATACCTTATTTAGCTTTTGAATGGGAACATAATTCCCTTGATTGACATTCATTTTAATACCATAGAGAATGGTTAATAACATATATTAAGTATCATATTTTTATAAGGTTCATAATTGAGTTGTTAGATGTACAACTTTTATCAAATGAATATCATTAAATGTTTATCGAAAAACATTTCGATGTTAAGGAGATTAAATATTTGCATCATATCATTTCTAGGTGTTTCATTATGTTCCTATAAAATTTCATCCACCTCAGCATATGTATAATAACTATATGAGTTGATTCATTAACCTTTTAAAATTGTTTTTTTCACCAATTCCTTGAATTTGCTAAGCTGTCTCCTTCTTCGTCATTTTCAATTATTTTTCTTCATTTATTCTTTTTGTTGCATATTTTCTCCTCGTCTTCATCCTTCTTCATTTATCAATATCTATTTTTCTTTTCTTTGCTTCTACAGAAGGATTTTTGATGAAAATAATCAATGTCTTTTAATCAATCCAAATTCAATGGAGAATCAGGATAGGAATTCATTCTTTTAAAATAATGATCCATAGTTTTATCTAGAAATACTAATCCTTTTAAAATAATTTATTCAAACTTTATCATAGTAAAATTATTTATCCGCATGAAATGTCCCTTATAATTTTTAAACAATAATAAAGGTGGTTTGATAAACGGGAAAAATTGAAATACACCCCTGAATTGTTGAAATTGGTTTGCCTATACCCTTTGTTATATTTTTAGTACATCAATGTCCTTATTGTCCAAATTTTGGAGTTCATACCATTCATACTAATAGTGATAGACGTATCTTAATTCTATCTGTTGATTCCACCTTGATGAAATTTCTACCAAAATTTAAAAGCCCACCTGATTTTTTTAATAAAAAACCCCACCCAAATACATAATATCCACGCCCAAAAATATAACCCAAACCCGCAAACCCATTCACTCCCAAAACCCTAGTTTGATGTTCGTCGGCCTAAAAATGGATCGGCTTAACTGATAAATTGTATAAGAATATAGAATAGAGTGTATTAATAATATTTTATGATTAGTTATGCATCATATCGTATAATACTAAATATCATATATATATATATATATATATATATATATATATATATATATGATAGAATCTTAGGTCCGTTTATGTGGAGCCATCACAAATTAAGATATCCCAAATTAAAATTTACTTTTAATTATATATATATATGACAGAATCTTAGGTCCGTTTATGTGGCGCCATTACAAATTAAAATTTAGTTTTAATTAAATTATTTATAAAATTAGCCTTGCCTTTCATGAAAAGTTGAGATATTTACTAAAATTGTGATTTTTATGAAAAATTAAGGCTTTAATGAAGAGTTGCGACTTTTATGAAATGTTGCCATTTTAATGAAGAATTGCGACTTCTATAAAAAGTTGTGACTTTTATGAAAGATTTTTACAATTATGAAGGGTTAAAACTTTTCTAATAAATGTAACCTTTTTGATAAAGCATAATAAATATTTGTTCATACTAGTGTTGTCTATAATAAGAGAGATCTACTCTCATTTCAACACAACAAAAATTCTGAAACTCTTCTTTTTCTTCACAACTAAATATTTGTGTACGTTACTCATGTTGAGTGGTTATGTGGTATCATTGCTTATGTTATACATCATGGTATAAAATTTTGTAATCATTAATTTATTCTTGTATATTATTAAGGATAAATTAGATGTATTAATTTTCATTTTTCTTTACATTATTAATCTTTTATGTAAAATAATATAGTGATTTACTTCTAATGTCTGATAGATTTTAAATATTATTTTATGTATTTCGTGATATTAATTTCTCGCACAAAGCGCATATGGTTTTACTAGTGATGTACTAATTCTTACTCTAACATAAGCTCAAAATCCTAACAAATAAAGAACTAAATCATATAAGCTATAACTAATTAAATATTGTCTAAGTAAATAAATTAGATATATTAGCCCATGCGTGTTTTTTAAGACTTCATCTATATACATGTCTTCCATTTGGCAACTTTCTTGGCATTAGAGGGATTGAGGAAGATGAGGAGCCCAACGTTTATTTTCATGGCTTTTTGGAGTCCTCTTGTAACTCTCTTCTTTCTCCTCCTCGTTTTTTTGTTTGTTTGCAATGTAATGCCATTACATTGACATATTGAAATTGTTATTGCAACTAATTGAAAATTTATCAAAGATTCAAGATTCAAATATATTTTTTTCCCCTTTTCAATTCAATGGGAACTTTATTCAACATTCTGTATTGAAATTATTTCTTATCCAAGATTCAGCATCCAAGACTGGAGAATTTTGTTTGTAGACAATTTTGGAGAACCCAAGAACTCGCCCATATAAATATGTCAACTGGAAATTTCCGTCCTAGCAAGAATGTCACTGCAATTATCTTTTGATAGTAGTATTTTGTTTAGTGTTTATTTGATAGTGTGGAGTATGCTTAGTTCTTTATTTGAGGATGCAGCTATTAGGTTGTGGATAAAAACTATTTGGGTTAACAGTAATTTGCTGCTTTCTTGGTTTTAAAAAAAGGGTTCTAAAAGGAGTAATCTTCTTATTGGATTTTTATTTTGGGTAAACTGGTCTAAATATTATTTGTCGTGTTTTACTCACACTTGATAGCAGTTGAAAGGTGAGGGTTGGGGCACGAGTATGGTATTTTACTGATGTTTTGAATATTAATGATAGATAACAATTGGTGAATGGAGTAGGAGTTGAGATATTAGTAGGAAAAAACGAGTCACTCCTAGTTAGTTTGGAAAATTTGATGGTGAAAGAATTTCCAAGAATCTTTTCCGCCATTGCACAGATAATTTCAAAAGTATCTTTTTGCTTCCCAGAGTGGCAGGCAAGTGTGGCTTTTGAATTTGGAGAGAAAATTTGAGATATTCCAAACTTCGTTTCGAATATTCCTGAAAATTTTTAGAAGAATATGTGCAAACCCATGAACTAGATGGGAAAACATAATTCTTTTATGGTACGAAACAGAAGATCCCGTGTTCTACATATACAAACTCAATTTGCTGCATGGTTAGCAGATTGTATCATTGGAAAAACAGAGAGTAAGAATGCTTAGGGAATAAAAGGAAGTGCTACAGAGAGAGCAACTAATTTTGCATTTGGAGCGAAAGAAATTAGAAAATTGCGAACACCCAAGCAAAAGACAACTGGACATGTCCTTGTTGTTTTGGGTGGACATCTTCACCACCATCTCGTATATTTTCAAATTCTGGTTCCTGTAATGTTATAAAGTTGCCTCTGGAGTCTTTCCACAGGCGACAAAACGCGTTGTCTAAGCTTTGATCTCTTTCTTTTTGGCACACTATTAGGATTTCAGAAAGTATCTTTATCTGCTTCTTCCAATAAAGGTAAACGTTAGTAGTGCACATAAAACAATAAAGTACTAATACAATAGATTTTTTATTTGTTTTGGTCAAGCTAGTATTATTTGTATGGTTAAGTATAGTTGGACTGGTCAGTTTATATCTTTATTGAATCCAATTTACCAGAAATTTGTCAATTACAGTTCATTGTATAAAGGGAAGTTAATTCTCAAATTTAGGGGAGACACTATAATTAATGGCCTACGAGCAAGAAAGAAACCAAAGATTATGCTTGTAGAGTATCAAATAGTAATTTCATCCCTACGACTTATATGGTAAAATCTTGAATGTGATTTAACATTACGTAATTTGAAATGCACATCACAATAATCTGAAAACGGCAAGAATTTCCTGCGTAAAAATAAATCCAAGTATCATGATTCTTTCGAGTATTAGTCACCAACATAAAATTTTCTATCTCACTCTTAAATTTGTTGTGTAGGATCTGTAGATTCTTCCCCTGTTCTCTACTCCTTTTTTTTGTGTGGTGGGGGTGATTCGAATTTATCATTTCTAATCAATGGAATAAGAGAAGTTTGTGGTTGAAATATTTTGAATCAGAATAATATGCACTACAGGATTACTTTTTGGGAAGGTTCATCTACAATGATTGGCCTAATTTCACCTATCTCATAATTTTCTTTGACTAAGGTCTCACTTGGTACGAGGAATATGGTATAACTAATCTTGGGATTAATTTTAGGATGAACTTATTCCATGTTTAGTTGGGTTTAAATCATGGTATAGCTCATCCCAGAATTAGCTATACCGGGATATTAGTGTTATTTTTATCCCACATTGAGGGTGGGATAACAATCCGGGATAACTCGTTCCCCAACCAAACGTGCACTAAGAGTTTTGCGCTTACTATCATGCAAAACAGAAGAGAAATATTGGCCAGAAATTGAGTAGGAAGATATTAGTTATCCATTTTTTATAACCTGTACGCTTAAGAAAGTATTTGATTCAGAACATGTACATATTTGCTAAGACAAGTTAAGTGCTCACTATATATGTAAAAGTATTTTACCATTTGTTTCTTCCATCTGCATGCAGATGACCGAGGATGATCCCGCTGAAACTAAGCTTGGTATGTTATTCTGTTCCTCTCCAAGACAAGCTGAAGATCCCTCCGGTCCAGAAACCACTACTCCAACTTCTAGCCTTTGGTCATCACGAGCTAAGAGACGCGTCGTCGTCTCAGAAGGTAACTGATAGCTTTGTGTTTCTCTGTTTGTATGTCTGGGAATATAGTTATGTAGTGACCCCTGCGCCACCTTGATCCACATGCATTGCATAGCACTGGTTTTTCAGGTGGCCCAGGTCTCCACTGGCGGGATCCTGTTTTTGAGTTCAAAATTACTTAGTGGTTAATCTGGGATAAATATGAATACAATTCGTACTGGTCACAAACTAAAGCACAATGTTCATTGACAATGAAGATCTACTGTAAAAAGGTATTGAATGTATTCCATGAGAATGGAAGTGTCATGAAACTAGAGTATGTATAATATTAGAAACAAGAGGAAATTTCCTTGTGTGAAACATGCATTGACACCTTAAGGATGCTTCAACTGTTTCTTTACTCATATTTTCATCACTATGTTAAGGAACCATACAAGAAAGTTGAAGTTAGCCATAACCATGAGCTTATGTTGATCCGTAAGATCCAGTTATTGCATAAACCTCTATCACATTTTCTGACGAAGAATCTGTCCGAGTCTTAGCCAGCACACTACAAAAGATCCTCCCTCTTCTAGAAACTGGAATCAGCTATGATCCTCGATAGCTTTCACGAAGTTTAAAAGAAAACTCCTCATTTTCTATCCCTAAAGCCAAAAGTTCCTTGTACATATCATCATATCCTCCCGAAGTGGTCCCTATATGACTTCTAAATCCCCTCATAAAATTAGTTTCTCAGCACGCAGAATAACTCAGACAACCTAGTCTTACTCCTCCCAGAACAAAGAAGTTTTTTTTGACCTCCTCGTCCAAACATGTTTGCTGCACATATTCCTACCAAAACTAGCTTAATGAACATTAACTTATGATTCACCCTCCTAATTTCTACCTCTTGCTCCTTAAGTTCCTTGTCTACTAAAAGCTTAACTTACTCTATTTCTACTCCTGAATCTTCTTTAGTACCATAACTTAAATCCATCTACATCCCTGACCTTGGTTCCTACCCATTTGGTTTCTTGTACACAAGCTTTATTGATCTTCCTCTTTATAGGAATCTTCACTAACTGTATCGATTTCCTTGTCAATGTCCCTATGTTTCAACACCCAACTCTCAACCTAGGATCTCCCTTGGTACCCTCACCACCCCGGCCCCTGCCCCCACTGCCAATCAAGTACATGACCATAAACTACATCAAACCCTAAAGCCATTAACGCCAGTTATAGAGTAATCAAGTGTGCAATAAGCAACAAATTATGGGCAACCCTTTAACATTGACAGTCACACAATACAATGACGATAATAAATACAAGAAATAAACTACAGAAAAGATATTGTTCAAAGTAGAAAAAAAAGAAACAGCAGCAATAAATTGAAGAACGCGATATCAGATTAAGGAAATCAGTAAACAAGCAAGCAACAATAACGGGCTGCACAATCTTTTAAGGAAAAATAATATTTAGAAAACGAATCTAGGATTTCTAGAACATGGGTGCACCCCTAATAAAAGAAGGAAAAAATGTAGTGAGTAGGAAGTGATTCTAGGTCCTCTAAGTAAATAACCAAATATTTAATTAAGTGCACATTGAGACTTTTTGTAGTGTGGCTGCCAACATCTAATATTATTGGGAGGAGGCTTGGAGCACTTTTCGGTTATGATGGGGTTGCACTAGAGATCGACCCTTAGCCTGCTCCCTTTTGCCTTAGTGATGGATGAATTGACACGATATATTCAATGAAGGGTATTCTGGTTTTTGCCATTCACAGATGACATAGTATAGAATAACAAGACATGGGGTGGAGTTAAACGAAAAACTGGAAGTTCTGGGACAGATCTTACAGAATAAAGTTTTTAGGTTAAACAAAGCTAAAACAACGTCTTTCGTGTGTAACTTCAATGACGTAACTTGAAGAAGAGGTGGAAGTGAGGAATGACTCACAAATCCTATTCAAGACCACAAGAGGAAGCTTCAAGTATCTTGGGTCCTTAATTAGAGGCTTATGATGTCGCACATCATATTGGAGTAGGGTGGGTAAATTGAAGGCATTCATCCCGGGGTACTTTGTGATAAAAATGTGTTGCCATGGCTTAAAGGTATGTTCCATAAAGTGATGGTTAGACCTACATTGTTGTATGTGGTAAGGGGTTGTTCATGCTTGTGGTGCGTGTAAAAATCCTAGTGAGTGGTGAAGAGTGGTGTTTTGGGGGTACATCATCTAGAAAGTTAGGACAATGGTTTTCAAAAGATTAAATAATTGGGAACTAGATGTGCATGGGTGGTAGGGATTGGGGACCAAATCCACAATTTATCCTTAATGACCTCAGTTCCTTTCAGACTAATAGCAGATGTACTGAAAATTTATAAACATTTGGCTCGAGCAATGAAAAAAGTTATGTACTCTATGTTTCATTTTTTAACATATGCACCATTTTATTGGAAGTATTTAGTGTTTATGCATATGAGTCTTCAAAATTCATTTGCTGAACCCATCTGGTACATAATTCTTAAGCATAACCTAATCAAGTATCCCGTAAAGCATGAGATTATTGATAAAGATAAAAGATGGGATATAGGCGGTGTATAGAACTTACTCTTAATGCCACAAAGGAGACATGGACCTCGTCTACCCATAAGATCTGATTATGCATTATTCAGTTCAAATCATGTTGAATTTGCTGCTGCTATCCTTTAGAGTTTGATTTGCTCTCAAAATCTAAAATGTCTAGAGTGAGGTGATGGATCACAGTATATACAGACAACTAAGAATTTGGTAGACTACATCTTGTCCTTTTATGGAAATAGATGAATTATGATAGATTTGTCATTAACTTCAATTTCTTTCCATTAATGCTTTTTTACATCAAGAAAAGAACTACAACATTCTATTTATTTCCAATAATGCTTTTTTACATCTATTTCCCCTTGCACTAGTACAATAATCAAATCGACCATTTTGCCTATATATATGAGGGTAGAGCTGTCAAAATGGCTGGCCCAACCCAACCAAACCAACCCTAACGGGCTAGAGAGTTAAATGGGTTGGGGTGGGCTGACACTTTTAATTAAAGGGCCTATAAAATAGCAGCCTAACCATCCCTAAACGGGCCACGACTTGGGACGGGTTGACCCTTCAACCAAAAAATAAACAATGTTACTTTCTTAGAAATAGTATCGAATGTTGACGTCTATGAATACGACATCAATTCATACAAAAATTCACTTATAAATCAGATACTTTGGTGAATACTTATAAAAATACATTTATGAATCACACTTCGGTGAATAGTTACATAAATATATAATAGCCAACGTAAGATTTGGCGGATAAATGTTGATCATTCCACCATTTCTCCCACAAAAAACTAGCTGGTTTAAAAGATTTCCAGCAACGCAAGACAACCAAAATACTTAGCAAATCTAAATTGCTACATATTACATGACCCATTAATTAAAGTTTTATGACTACGCCCCTTTCCGCTTCCTCTTCCACCATCAATCACATTTGAATCAACGTGTGATACAGTTTCCTTCAAAAGTTCTTTTACAATTCACCATACAATATGATATTGCAGAAGGCCTAATTTTTTAGTTTTCAAAATATTTATTGATAAAATCTTTACAAGTAAAACACTATTAAAAATATATTAAAATATATTTTAAAAATTAATAGCCCATGGCTGGCCTCTGAGGCTTGCAGGCTGAGCCTCTGTGGCCAACGAGCCAAATGGTGTAGGCTAAAAAGCCTCGTTCCTAAATGGGCCAAAAAAATTAAATCTAACCCCACTTATTACAAGGGTCGGGTTGGGCTAGCCTCGCGAGTTGAAGTCCATTCAAATTGCTGTGTCACTAATAATTATTTAATACATCAAGAAAAGAACTACTAATTCGATTTATTTAATTCATTAAGAGATTTTTATGAAAAATACTTTTATGATATTACTTTATATTATTTTTCAAATTTCAGAAATTATTTTTCAAACACAACTTTGAATTATTATTTTCAAGTTTCAACATAAGCTCACTATACGGTGGAGTTACAAAGGAAAAAACTGTCGAGTAGTGCTAAACCAAGAAGGTTCGGTAATAATGTAACACTTTAAAGAAATGACTGTGTAATGAATTCTAGAAAAGAAGCAAAGGTTTGCCTTATTCTTTTTAATCAATAAAAAAATGAATAACATAAAGGGGAAAGGCTCAAACATGCCATCAGACTTCCAGAAAAAGCTCATTTACGCCATCCGTTAAAAGTTTGGCTAATTTATGCCATTGTTGTTAAAAAAAAGGCTCATCCATGCCAGTTTTTTAACTCCAGTTTTGTAAAACCACTTTTTACATAACAAACAAGGTTTAACACTTCCTATTAGTGTTTTTGGATCAAATGTATACTTTTTGCTTCTACATTCATTAGAACACTAAGAACACATAAGAACATTAACAATTCCCAAATTTCAAATTTATTCAATTCTTCACGAATCGCCTCAAATTTCAAGAGTAGTTTCGCTCCAAGCTAGATATCAAAACTCGATTTCTTTTGAGCTCAAATTCAACTTAACTCAACAAGACCCAATTGAAATTTCCTCAAAGTTTCAAAACTTCAACATTCTTTAATGGTAGATTCTTCACAACTTCAAATCATTAGAAATTTTGAACATAAACTCAAAAAACACTGGTCAACAAAGATCTAATGTAAAAAACTACAAAAATAAGAATCAAGGAAAATTTTGAAATTTTGAGACTGATTTTCGTTTTTGGAATATATATTTTTAAAATATGGATTAATTTTTTTTGAATTCTGCAAATGATGTTAGAATTTTTTTTTTAAAAAAGTAATTAATGTTGTAGCCGAAATTTGAGTTGATTTCATGAAGAATTGAAGATGTTGAAAATTTGGGCGTTGTTTATGTTCTTCATGTGTTCTTGGTGTTTTAAAGAAAAACAAGCAAAAAATATACATTTGATCCAAAAACACCAATACAAAAGTGTAAAACCTTGTTTGGTGTGTAAAAAATGGTTTTGCAAAATCGGAGTTAAAAAAATGGCATGGATGAGCCTTTCCTTTAACAGCAATGGCATAAATGAGCCAAACTTGTAACGGAATACATAAATGAGCCTTTTCCCTAAAATAAACATGTTCAAATGATTTGTCAAATGTGTCAAGAGAAATCAAAACCCAATGTCACTGTCCGCCGGCCAAAAATTCAGTGTTTGCTTCTACCGCTACCAATCTCTGTAGCCTGAAACATAATTCCACCAAACATTTGTGCTTTTTCTAGTAGAAAATAACACTAATTAATTGTTAATTTGTAGCATGAATCTCCATTATCTTTTATTTATGAATTCCATATAAAAAAATAATTTATTTTATCATGTTAATATTTTTTTAATAATAAATTTATTTGAGTGGTTTTATTGATACAAATAAAAAGTTGAGTGATTTTATTGATACAAATAAAAAGTTACTTTTAGCGCGCACACACACACACACACACACCCCTCCCCCCCCCCCCCCCACATATATATATATATATATATATAATAGAACCTTAGGTCCGCCTACATGGAGTCATCAGAAACCATAATTCACTTTTAGTTTATCTTTTTACAAATTAGTCTTGCCTTTCATGAAAAGTTGAGATATTTACGAAAAGTTGTGATTTTCATGAAAAGTTACGACTTTAATGTAGAGTTGCGACTTTCATGAAAAGTTGTCACTTTTATTAAATATTGTGACCATTTTGAAGGGTTAAAAATTTCCAAATAGTTGTAACCATTCTGATAAGGCACAATAAATGAATAAATATTTCTTCATACTACCATATTTTGACTATAAATAGAGAGATTTCTCTCCGTTCAAAACAACAAAAATTCTGGAGCCCTTCTTCTTCACAATTAAATATTTGTGTACGTAACTCATGTTGATTGGCTATGTGACACCATTCCTTATGATATAGATCACGGTATATATTTTTGCAATTATTAATTTATTGTTATATGTTATTAAGGATAAATTATAAGATGTAATAATTTTCATTTTTCTTTACATTATTAATCTTTTCTGTAAAATAATATAGTGATTTAGTTCTAATGACTGATAGATTTAGTATCACAATTTTGTTTTTAGACAATTTAGGAGAACCCAAGAAATCACCCATATAAATATGTCAACTAGAAATTTCCATCCTAGCAAAAATGTCACTGCAATAATCTTTTGATAGTAGTATTTTGTTCAGTGTTTATTTGATGGTGTAGAGTATTCTTAGTTCTTTGTTTTGAGGATGCAGCTATTAGGTTGTGAATAAAAACTATTTGGGGATCACAATCATTTGCTGCTTTCTTGGTTAGAAAAAAAGGGGTTTTAAAAGGAGTAATCTTTTTATTGGAAAAAATGAGTTACTTCTAAGTAGTTCAGAAAAATTTGATGGTGAAAGAATTTAGAATAATCTTTTCTGCCACTCCACAGCTAACCTAAGTATCTTTTTGCTTCCCAGAGTGGCAGGAAAGAGTGGCTTTTGAATTTGGAGGGAAAAATGACTAATTCTATTTCAGATATTCCAATCTTTGTTTCGAATACTCCAGAAAATTTCTAGAAGAATATGAGCAAACCCATGAACTAGATGGGAGAACATAATTCTTATATGGTACGAAACAGAAGATCCTGTGTTCTTCATATACAAACTCAATTTGCTGCATGGTTAGCAGATTGTATCATTGGAAAAACAAAGAGTTAGAATGTTTAGGCAATAAAAGGAAGTGCTACAGAAAGAGCAACTAACTTTGCCTTTGGAGCGAAAGAAATTAGAAATTTGCGAACGCCCTAGCAAGAGACAACTGGACATGTCCATGTTTTTTCGGGTGGAGATCTTCACCCTCAAAATGTCCACTAATAATGTCAAGAACTATGGACACATTCAGAGATATGTTTTTTCACTTAATGCGAGGATTGATCCAATTGTTTTTCCACCCTCATTTCCAGTAGTTTCATTTTGCATAGCCACATGATCTAGTATATTATTGTTTATCCTGAAACAAAGTATAATGCAAGACAGTACAGTTATAATGACACACATATGTCAGTCAAATTCCCTTTGAGATGTCACAATGTAATTGTACAATGAGGTCCAGAAAAACTAACAAACTTTTAGGTAAGCACACAGTGATAGACATCGGAATTGACTTATTAGATGCACCTAAAAAGTAGAATTTGACATATATAATTAATGGAAATTCCATCCAGTAAAACCGAACCATCCCCAGACCCTGCACATAGGGTAGCTTAGTGCATCGAGCTTCCCTGTTGAATCTTATGCACGTATCTCAAAATTCACTTATCGATTTGGATTTTCTACAGGAGCATTCATTGAGTCAGAGGCGTTATCTTTGGCTATTGGTGGTAGAGACGTCGAGCATTCTGTGGTAGTTGGTGACACGAGCGGCATTGCTCCAAGACCAATCTCATTAGGAGGGATGTATTTGTTCCTTGCATGAATTAGAGTAACATCTTTACCACGGTCTCGTATATTTTCAAATTCTGGTTCCTGTAGAATGTTATAAAGTTGCCTCTGGAGTCTTTCGACAGTTGACAAAATGTGTTGTCTAAGCTTTGATCTCTTTCTTTTTGGGACACAGTTAGGATTCCAGAAAGTGTCTTTATCTGCTTCTCCCAACAAAAGGTAAATGTTAGTGCACATAAAACATTAAGGTTAATATACATTAGTTTTTATTTTTATTTTGGTCAAGCTAGTATTATTTGCAAGGTTAAGGTATAGTTGGATGGTCAATTCATATCTTTATTGAAAATCCAAATCACCTGAAATATTTTAATTTCACCTCATTGTTAAAAGGAAAGTTAGTTCTCAAATTTAGAGGAGACACTAGAATTAATGGCCTATGAGCAAGAAAGAAACCAAAGATTGTGCTTGTAGAGTATCACGTAGTAATTACATCCCTAAGTTTTTTATGGTACAGTCTTGAATGTGATTGACATTGCATAATTTGAAAGACACATCACAGTAATCAGAAAAAGGCAAGAATTTCCTGCGTAAAAAATAAATCCAAATGTGGTGAATCTTGATACATGCTTATCAAGTTGCCTTAGAGCTCATGGTGTAAGTGATTCTTTTGAGTGTTAGATACGAACATAGGACAATGGGAGAATGATGATAAAATTTTCTATCTCACCGTTAAATTTGTTGTGTCGGATCTTTAGATTCTTCCCCTTTTTGGGAAGGTTCATCTACAATGATTTGGTTTCCTAATTTCTATCTCATAATTTTCTTTGACTAAGTTCTCCTTTGGTACGAGGGATATTGGATAACTAATCTTGGGATTAATTTTAGGATGAGCTTATCCCATGTTTAGTTAGGATAAATCATGGTATGACTTATCCCGGAATTAGCTATACCGTGATTGTAGTTTTATTTTTATCCCACATTGAAGGTGGGATAACATTCCCGGGATCACTTGTTCCCCAACCAAACGTGCCCCAAGAGTTTTGGGCTTACGATCATGCAAAACAGAAGAGAAATATTGGCTAGAAATTGAGTAGGAAGATATTTTTTTTCCATTTTTTTAACCTGTACGCTTAAGAAAGGATTTGATTCAGGACATGTATCATATTTGCTGAGACAAGTTAACTGCTCACTATATATGTGAAAGTATTTTACCATTTGTTTCTTCCATCTGCATGCTCTGTGTTTCCCTATTTGCATGTCTGGGAATATAGTTTTGCAGTGTCCCCCTAATGCACCACCTTATTCCACAAGCATTGCAGAGCACAGGTTTTTCAGGTGGCCCAGGTCTCCAATGGGAGGTTTCTGTTTGAGTTCAAAGTTAATTAGTGTTTACACTAAAACACAATGATCATTGACAATAAAGATTTTCTATAAAAAATGGTAGAGAATTTATTGCAGGAGAATGGAAGAGTCATGAAACTAGAGTATGTATAATATTAAAAACAAGAGGAAATTTCCTTGTGTGAAATATGCATTGACCTTAAGGATTCTTCAACTGTTACTTTACTCACATTTTCATCACTATGTTAAGGAGCCATACCAGAAAGTTGAAGTTAGCCATAACCATGAACTTATGTTGGGCAGTAAGATCCAGTCATTGCATAAACCTCTCTCACATTTTCTGATGAAGAATCTGTCCGAGTCTTAGCCACCACACTACAAAAGATCCTCCCTCTTCTATAAACTGGATTAAGCTATGATCATCTCGATAGCTTTCACGAAGTTCAAAAGAAAACTCCTCATTTTCTATCCCTAAAGCCGAAAGTGCCTTGTACATCATCATATTCTCTCGAAGTGGTCCCTATGCGACTTCTAAAATCCCCCTCAAATAATTAGTTTCTCAACACGTGGGATAACTATCACAACCTAGTCTTACTCCTACCAGAATAAAGAAGTTTTTTTTTACCTCCTCGTCCAAACCTGTTTGCTGCACATATCCCTGACCTTGGTTCCTACCTGTTTGGTTTCCTGTACAGAAGCTTTATTGATCTTCCTCTTTATAAGAATCTTCACTAACTGTATTGATTTCCTTGTCAATGTCCCTATGTTTCAAGACCCCACTCTCAACCTAGGATCTCCCTTGGTACCCTCACCACCTCGGCCCCCCGCCCCTGCTGCAAATCAAGTACATGACCATAAACTACATCAAACCCCGATGCCACTAACGCCAGTTATAGAGTAATCAAGTGTGCAATAAACAACAAAAAATGGGCAACCCATAAACTTTGACAGTCACACAATACAATGACGATAATAAATAGAAGAAATAAACTATAGAAAAGATATTGTTTTAAGCAGGAACCAAAAAATGCAGTAATATTTATAAACGCGCAGCAATAAATTTAAGAACGCGATATCAGATTAAGGAAATAAGTAATCAAGCAAGCAACAATAACGGGCTGCACAATCTTTTAAGGAAAAATCATATTTAGAAAAACGAATCTAGGATTTCTAGAACATGGGTGCACCACTAAAAAAAGAAGGAAAAGATGTATTGAGTAGGAAGTGATTCTAGGTCCTCTCAGTAAATAACCAAATATTTAATTAAGTGCACCATTGAGGCTTTTTGTAGCGTGGGTGCCAACATATAATATTATTGGGAGGAGGCTTGGAACACTTTTCAATAATGATGGGGTTTGCACTAGAGATCGACCCTTAGTCTGTTCCCTTTTGCCTTAGTGATGGATGAATTGACACGATATATTTAATGAAGGGTATTCTGTTTTTTGCCATTCACAGATGACATAGTATAGAATAACAAGACATGGGGTGGAGATAACGAAAAACTGGAAAGTCTGGGACAGATCTTACAGAATAAAGTTTTTAGGTTAAGCAAAACTAAAACAACGTATTTTGTGTGTAACTTCAATAAGGTAACACTTAAGAAACACGTTGAAGTGAGGAATGACTAGGAAACTTCAAGTATCTTGGGTCCATAATTAGAGGCTTTTGATGTCGCACATCATATTGGAGTAAGGTGGGTAAATTGAAGGCATGCATCCGGGGGTACTTTGCAATAAAAATGTGTTGTCGTAGGTATGTTCCATAAAGTGGTGGTTAGACCTACATTGTTGTATTGGTAAGGGGTTGTTCATGCTTGCGGTGCGTGTAAAAACCCTATGGAGTGGTGAAGAGTGGTGTTTTGGGGGGTTCATTATCTAGACAGTAAGGGCGATGGTTTTCAAAAGATTAAATAATTGGGAACTAAATGTGCATGAATGGTAGGGATTGGGTGCCAAATCCACAATTTCTCCTAAATGACCTGAGTTCCTTTTAGACTAATGGCAGATGTACTGAAAATTAATAAACATTTGGCTCGAGCGATGAAAAAAGTAATGTACTCTATGTTTTATTTTGTAACAGATGCACCATTTTAGGGAAATTTGGGTATTTCGTGTTTATGCATGTGAGTCTTCAAAATTCATTGGCTGAACATCTGGTACATAATTCTTAAGCATAATTAACCTAATCAAGTATCCTGTAAAGCATGAGATTATTGACAAAGATAAAAGATGGGATGTAGGCAGTGTATAAAACTTACTCTTGATGCCACAATGGAGACATGGACCTCGTCTACCCATAAGATCTGATTATGAATAATTCAGTTTAAATAAGGTTGAATTTGCTGCTACTAACCTTTAGAGTTCGATTTTCTCTCAAAATCTAAAATGTCTAGAGTGAGGTGATGGGTCACAGTATATATAGACAACTAAGAATTTGGTAGACTATAGCTTGTCCTTTTATGGAAATAGATGAATATTGATAGATTTGTCATTAACTTCAATTTCTTTCCAATAATGATATTTTACATCAAGAAAAGAACTACTGCATTCTATTTATTTCCAATAATGTTTTTTTACATCCATTTCCCCTTGGACTAGTACAATAATCAAATCGACCATTTTGCCTAAATATATAATGAGTGTCTCATTACTACTGTGCAGGTGAGAGTTGAAGTCCATACAGGTTGCTCCGTCACTAATTGGATAAATTATGATATATTTGTTATTAAACTTCAATTTCTTTCCAATAATGCTTTTTTACACCCAGAAAAGAACTACTACATTCAATTTATTTCCAATAATGCTCTTTTACGTCCATTTCCCCTTGCACTAGTACAACAATCAAATTGACCGTTTTGCCTAAATATTTGACGGTCACATTATTACTCTGCAGGTGAGAGTTGAAGTCCATACTGGTGGCTCCCTGACTGATAATTGGATAAATTTCTCATTTGGTAAGTATGCCTCAACTTGTGAATTAAATTAAGAAGATACAAGTATTAACTTAGAGCTGGCTATTTCCTAGGAAATATTCTTTAAAACTTTGGCTCCTTCATTTCTGATATTCCGGTGCTCTAAAAAACCACTGTACTGTGCTGTTTGGAAAGGCTCAATTATATTAAGGCAATGTTGCCCTGATAAGAAAGGATTTTAAAAAGAACAAACCACGTTTGTTTGATTATCAGGAAACAAAATTGTTATTTATATCAATAAAATCACTTAATCAATTTTTTTTTATGACATGACAAAGTAAATTATTTTTTAACGCCATGTTAACCTGAACCCATGTATTAAATAAAATAAAATTAAAGAAAATTCATTAAGAGATTTTTATGAAAAATACTTTTATAATATTACTTAATATTATTTTTCAAATTTCATAAATTATTTTTCAAACACAATTTTGAATTATCTTTTAAAGTTTCAACATGAGCTAACTATACGGTGGAGCTACAAAGGAAAAAAGTTGTCGAGTAGTGCTAAAACAAGAAGCTTCAGTAATAATGGAACACTTTAAAGAAATGACATGACTGGTGTAATGAATTCCAGAAAAGAGGCAAAGGTTTACCTTATTTTTTTTAATCAATAAAAAAATGATTTAAATAGACATGTTTTCAAATGATTTGTCAAATGTGTTGAGAGATATCAAAATTCAATGTCATCGTCCGCGACCAAAAATTCAATGTTTGCTTCTACCTCTTCCAATCTCTGTAGCCTGAATCACAGTTCCAGTGAACACTTACGCTTTTTCTAGTTGAAAATAACACTAATTTTTTGTTAATTTGTAGCATGAATCTCCACTATCTTTAATTTATGAATTTCATATAAAAAAATTATTTTTTCATGTTAATATTTTTGTAACAATAAATTTATTTCAGTGATTTTATTGATACAAATAAAAAGTTGAGTGATTTTATTGATACAATTAAAAAGTTACTTTTAACACACATATATATATATATGTATAATAGAACCTTATGCCCGCATACGTGGCGTCACCACAAATCAGAATTCACTTTTAATTTATTTATTTACTTACAAAATTAGTCTTGCGTTTCATGGAAAGTTGAGATATTTGCGAAAAGTTGTGATTTTTATGAGAAGTTACGACTTTGATGAAGAGTTGCGATTTTTATGAAAAGTTGTGACTTTATGAAATCTTGTGACTTAAATGAAAAATTGTGACTTTTATGAAAAGTTGTATCTTTTATAAAAGATTGTGACCCTTCTAAAGGGTTAAAACTTTTCCAAATAGTTGTAACCTTTCTGATAAAGCACAATAAATGAATAAATAATTGTTCATACTACCATATGTTGACTATAAATAGAGATATTTCTCTCATTTCAAAACAACAAAAATTCTGAAGCCCTTCTTCTTCACAATTAAATATTTGTGTACGTTACTCATGTTGAGTGGCTACATGATACCATTGCTTATGTTATAGATCAAGGTATATATTTTGCAATTTTTAGTTTATTCTTATATGTTATTAAGGATAAATTATAAGATGTAATAATTTTCATTTTTCTTTACATTATTAATCTTTTAGGTAAAATTTTAAGTATTATTTTATATATTCTGTGATATTAAATTCTCGCACGAAGCCCATATAGTTTTACTAGTGATGTATTAATTATTAGTATAACATAAGCTCAAAATCCTAACAAATAAATAATTAAACCATTCTAAAACTAATGAAATATTGGATAAGTAAATAAATAAGTGTAGTATCATTAGCCCATGCGTGTTTTTAAAGCCTTCATCTATATACATGTCTTCCATTTGGCAACTTTCTTGGCGTTAGAGGATTGAGGAAGATGAGGAGCCCAACGTCTATTTTCATGGCTTTTTGGAGTCCTCTTGCCGTAACTTTTCTTCCTTCTCCTCCTCGTTTTTTTTTGTAATGTAATGCCATTACATTGACATATTGAAATTGTTATATTGCAACTAATTGAAAATTTATAAAAGATTCAATATTCAAATTTATTTTTTTTGCCGCTTTTCATTCTAATGGAAATTTTTTTCAAGATTCTGTATTGAAATTATTTCTCATCCAAGATCATGTACCAAGACTGGATAATTTCGTTTTTAGACAATTAGGAGAACCCAAGAACTCACCCATATAAATATGTCAACTAGAAATTTCCATCCTAGCAAGAATGTCACTGCAATTATCTTTTGATAGTAGTATTTTGTTCAGTGTTTATTTGATGGTGTGGAGTATGCTTAGTTCTCTATTTGAGGATGCAGCTATTAGGTTGTGAATAAAACCTATTTGGGGTAACAGTAATTTGCTGCTTTCTTGGTTTTAATAAAAGGGTTTTAAAAGGAGTAATCTTCTTATTGGATTTTTATTTTGGGTAAACTGGTCTAAATATTATTTGTCGTGTTTTACTCACACTTGATAGCAGTTGAAAGGTGAGGGTTGGGTCACGAGTATGGTGTTTTACTGATATTTAAATATTAATGATAGATAACAATTGGTGAATGGAGTAGGAGTTGAGATATTAGTGGGAAAAAATGAGTCACTCCTAATTAGTTCGGAAAATTTTGGTGGTGAAAGAATTTCCAAGAATCTTTTCCGCCATTCCACAGATAATTTCAAAAGTATCTTTTTGCTTCCCAGAGTGGCAGGCAAGTGTGGCTTTTGAATTTGGAGAGAAAATTCGAGATATTCCAAACTTTGTTTTAAATATTCGAGAAAATTGCTAGAAGAATGTGAACAACCCATGAACTAGATGGGAAAACATAAATCTTATATGGTACGAAACAGAAGATCCCGTGTTCTGCATATACAAGCTCATTTTGCTGCATGGTTAGCAGATTGTATCATTGGCAAAAAAAGAGTAAGAATGTTTAGGCAATGAAAGGAAGTGCTACAGAGAGAGCAACTAACTTTGTATTTGGAGCGAAAGAAATTAGAAAATTGCGAACACCCAAGCAAGAGACAACTGGACATGTCCATGTTGTTTTGGGTGGACATCTTCACTCTCAAAATGTCCATTTTTAATGTCAAGAACTATGAACACATTCAGATAGATGTTTTCCACTGAATGCGAGGATTGATCCAATTGTTTTCCGACCCTCATTTTCAGTAGTTTCATTTTACATAGCCACATGATCCAGTATACTATTGTTTATCCTGAAACAAAGTATAATGCAAGACCGTACAGGTATAATGACACGCATATGTAAGTCAACTGCCCTTTGAGATGTCACAATGTAATTCTACAATGAGGTCCAGAAAAACTAACAAACTTGTAGGTAAGTACAGAGTGATAGACATCTGATTGACATATTCAATGCACCTAAAAGTAGAATTTGACATATCCAATTCATGGAAATTCCATCCAATAAAATGGAACCTTCCCAGGATCCCCCCCCCCCCCCCCCCGCACATAGTGAGAGCTTTAGTTCACTGGGCTGCCCTATTGAATCTTATTCATGCAGCTCAAACTTCACTTAGAGATTTGGATTTTCTACAGGAACATTCGTTGAGCAAGAGGCATTATCATCTGCCATTGGAGGTATAGACGTGGAGCATTCTGTAGTAATTGGTGATACGAGCGGCATTGCTCCAAGACCAATCTCATTAGGAGGAATGTATTTGTTCCTTGCATGAATTAGAGTAACATCTTTACCACGGTCTCGTATATTTTCAAATTCTGGTTCCTGTAGAATGTTATAAAGTTGCCTCTGGAGTCTTTCAACAGTTGACAAAATGTGTTGTCTAACCTTTGATCTCTTTCTTTTTGGGACACAATTAGGATTCCAGAAAGTGTCTTTATCTGCTTCTCCCAACAAAAGGTAAATGTTAGTGCACATAAAACAATAAAGTACTAATATAATAGATTTTTTATTTTAATTTGGTCAAGCTAGTATTATTTTTATGGTTAAGGTATAGTTGGACTGGTCAGTTTATATCTTTATTGAATCCAAATTACCAGAAATTTGTCAATTTCAGTTCATTGTATTAGGGGAGGTTAGTTCTCAAAATTTAGGGGAGACACTATAATTAATGGCCTATGAGAAAGAAACCAATTATTGTGCTTGTAGAATATCATAAAGCAATTACATCCCTACAGCTTATGTGGTAAAATCTTGAATGTGATTTGACATTACATAATTTGAAAGGCACATCACAGTAATCGGAAACGGCAAGAATTTCCTGCGTAAAAGAAAATCCAAGTATCATGATTCTTTTTAGTATTAATCACCAACATAAACAACCACTCGGACAGTGGGAGAATGCTGATAAAATTTTCGGTCTCACTGTCAAACTTGTTGCGTAGGATCTGTAGATTCTTCCCCTGTTTTCCCTCTCCTTTTTTTGGGGGGTGGGGGTGATTCAAATTTTTCCCATTTCTAATCAATAGAATAAGAGAAGTTTGTAGTTGGAATCTTTTGAATCAGTATAATATTCACTGCAGGATTACTTTTTGGGAAGGTGCATCTACAATGATTTGGTTGCTTAATTTCACCTATCTAATAATTTTCTTTGACCAAGGTCTCGTCTGCTAAGAGGAATATGGGATAACTAATCTTGGGTTTAATTTTAGCATGAGCTTATCCCATGTTTAGTTGGGTTAAAATCATGGTATAACTTATCCCGGAATTAGCTATACCGGGATTTTAGTGTTATTTTTATTCCACATTGAGGGTGGGATAACAATCCGGGATAACTCGTTCCCTAACCAAACGTGCCCTAAGAATTTTGCGCTTACTATCATGCAAATCAGAAGAAAGAAATTGGCCAGAGATGACTAGGAAGATATAAATTTTTCATTTTTTTATGACCTGTACACTTAAGAAAGGATTTGATTCAGAACATGTATCATATTTGCTGAGACAAGTTAAATGCTCGCTATATATGTGAAAGTGTTTTACCATTTGTTTCTTCCATCTGCGTGCAGATTGCCGAGGATGATCCTGCTGAAACTAAGCTTGGTATGTTATTCAGTTCCTCTCCAAGACAAGCTGAAGATCCTTCCTGTCCAGAAACCACTACTCCAACTTCTAGCCTTTGATCATCACGAGCTAAGAGACGCGTCGTCGTCTCAGAAGGTAACTGATAGCTCTGTGTTTCTCTGTTTGCATGTCTGGGAATATAGTTATGTAGTGGCCCCCTGCGCCACCTTGATCCACATGCATTGCATAGCACTGGTTTTTCAGGTGGCCCAGGTCTCCAATGGCGGGTTTCTGTTTGAGTTCAAGATTACTTAGTGTTTAAACTGGGAAAATTTGAATAAAATTCTTACAGGTATGAAACTAAAGCACAATGATCATTGACAATGAAGATCTACTGTAAAAAGGTATTGAATATATTGCAGGAGAATGGAATTGTCATGATACTAGAGTATGTATAGTATTAGAAATAAGAGGAAATTTCCTTGTGTGAAACATGCATAGACTTTTAGGTAATCCCTGAACACCATGTATCAGTCTTTCTTATTATCCCTAGAATACTCAACCTGGGTAACCCCTCAAGATCCCTACCGCCTCTCTTGTTGTTTTCTTGATGCAATCAATTGTTTTAGACCATATATTAATTGCAACCCCACTAGCTCTGCTTTCCTTTTTCGTCGTCTTAAACCTCTAATTATTCCTCCTCATCTAAGCTTTAATTAACGTCTTGTAATCAACCTTCTTGGCTTTTATTGTGCTTTGGACCTCTTCATTCCACCACCATTCCCTTTTGTGCCTCTCTGGATAACTCTTCGGGACCCCCTACACCTCTATTGTTACTTCTCTGATATAGTTTGTTGTCCTAGCCCGTACACCCTTTGTTTCCTCACTACTCTCTGAAATCCTCATAACCACTAACTTCTCTCCAATTTCCTAAGTGTTGGGTTGTAATCCCCTCTCTTGATCCAGTCCTTTCATGAACCTCAATCACATTTTCTAAGGAGCAAAGAATCTATCTGAATCTTAGCCACCACACTACAAAACGTCACCAAGTGCTCCTCCCTCTTCTAGAAACTGGAATTAGCTATGATCAACTCGATAGCTTTGTGAAGTATAAAAGCAAAACTCCATTTCTATCCCCAAGGCTGAAAGTGCCTCGTACTTCATCATATCCTCTCGAAGTTGTCCCTTTGTGACTATTAAAATCCCCTCATAAAATTGGTTTCGCAGTACACGGGATAACTCTCACGACCTCATCGAACTCCTCCCAGATCGAAAAAGATTTTTTTGACCTCCTTGTCTATACCCGTTTGCTGCACTTGTGCACTAATTAAGTTAATAGTTAGCCCTCCCAAGGCTAGCTTAATGAACATTAACTTATCATTCACCCTCTTAATCTCTGCCACTTGCTCCTTGAGTTCCTTCTCTACTTAATGCCTACTCTTTCTACTCCTCGATCTTCTCGAGTACCATAACTTATATCCATCTAGAACCCTCGCCTTGATTCCTACCCTTTTGGTGACTTGAACACAAGCTATATTGATCTTCCTCTTCATAAGAATCTTAACTAACTCTATTGACTTCATCGTCTATGTCCCTATGTTTCAAGAGCCAACTCTCAACCTGGATCTCTCTTGGAACCCTTACCACCCCTCCCCCCTTCCCGCTGCCAATCAAGTACATGACCATAAACTACATCAAACCCTGATGCCACTAATGCAAGTTGAAGAATAATCAAGTGTGCAATAAACCACAAAAAATGGGCAACCCATAAGGACAAAAAACCTAAATCTTAACATTGACAGTCACACAATTCAATGACGAAAATAAATGGAAGTAATAAGCTATAGAAAAGATATTGTTCAAAGTGAACCAAAAAATGCAGTAGTATCTGTAAGGATGCAGAAATAAATTCATGAATGCAATATCAGATGAAGGAAATCAGTTAACAAGCAAGTAACAATAAGGCGCTTCACAATCTGTAAAGGAAAAATCAGATTTAGACGGACGAATCTAGGATTTCTAGAACATGGGTGCACCACTAAAAAAAAGAAGGAAAAAATGTATTGAGTAGGAAGTGATTCCAAATCCTCTATGTAAATAACTAAACATTTACCCAAGTGCTCCATTTAGCCTTTTTATAGCATGGGTGCCCCCACATGATATCATGGGAGGAGATTTGGAACACTTTCCGGTCATGATGGGGTTGCACTTAGCCTGTTGTTCTTTTCTTTTGCCTTAGTGAGGGATGAATTGACATGATATATTCAATGGATGGGACTGTGGATTATTCCATTTACAGAAGAAATTGTACAGAATAACGAGACACGGGTTGGAGTTAACGAAAAATTATAAGTTTTGAAACAGATCTCAGAGATTAAAGTTTCAAGGTTAGCAAAACTAAAACAAAGTATTCCCCGTGTAACTTCAATGACGTAACACTTGAGGCAGAGGTGGATAGAACTTACTCTTGATGCCACAATGGAGACATGGACCTTGTCTACCCATAAGATCTGATTATGAATTATTTAGTTCAAATCAGGTTGAATTTGCTGCTGCTTACTTTTAGAGTTCGATTTGCTCTCAAAATCTAAAATGCTTGAGTGAGGTCACGGGTCAGTATATATATAGACAGATAAGAATTAGGTAGACTATATCTGGTCCTTTATATGGAAATATATTAATAATGGCAGATTTTTCATTAACTTTTGTGTATTCTGAATTTTTCTTTTTCCCCTATGACAGCTCATCAACTTTGATTACAGTAATTTCTGAACTATTTACACTATTAACTCCAATGAGAGAAGTCTTAGATTCTCTATCAAATGAAAAGGGGGTGGGAATTTGAGGCTTGGTGTGGGTGGGGTGAAAGCTGGATTTGGTGAATTTTCATAATTTTTGGCCTTTAATCTAGTGGTTGCTTATTAAGCAATGAATCTTAGGTCAAGGAAGTGTTGAACAGTTTCAAGATGATAATTCAAATATCTAAGAGTGAGCAGATAAAAGAGTTTTCAAATAATGACATATAATCTATGTTTCTCGGACTCTTCAAAAATATCAATGGGTGCATGTTGGATTCGCTTAAAGTAGTGCATTTTTGAGAATCCAACATGGGTGCAACATCAAAGTGAAGAGTGTGCAGATCTGGAAAAGAATGACTACATTCAATTTCTTTCCAACAATGCTTTTTTACATCCATTTCTGCCTGCACTAGTACATTAATCAAATCAACCGATTTGCCTAAATATAAGATGGTCTCATTAATACTCTGCAGGTGAGAGATGAAGTTTCTCGTACAGGTGGCTTTGTGACTGATAATTGGATTAATTTCTTATTTGGTGAGTATGCCTCAACTTGTGAATTAAATTGAGTAGATACATGGATTAGCATAGTGCTGGCAAGAAAGAAAACAAAGATTGTGCTTGTAGAGTATGTAGAGTATCATATAATAATTACTTTCCTACGGCTTATTTGGTAAAATCCTGAATGTGATTTGACATTACATAATTTGACAAGCACATCACAGTAATCGAACAAATGATAGGAATTTCCTGCATAAAAATAAATTCATGTCTCGTGAATCTTGATAGATGCTTATCAAGTTTTCTTAGAGCTTATGGTGTAAATGATTCTTTTGAATATTAGATACCAACATAAAACAACCAAGTGGAAGAATGCTGAAATTTTTTTCTGTCTCACGGTTAAATTTGTTGGTATATTCTGTAGATTCTCTTCCACTATTTTCCGCTCCCTTTTTTGGGGGTGGTTCCAATTTATCCATTTCCAGGGTGTGTTTGGTATGGAGGAAAATGTTTTCCTAGAAAATGTTTTCCTGGAAAACAAGTAGATTTTGGACTTATTTTCTCATGTTTGGTTGGTGAGTAGAAAATATTTTCCAGAAATGATTTTTAGTGTTTGATTTATTAATGAAAAATGTTTTTGAGAGACATCTTTTATTTTTACTCAAGTAAAAAATAATTTATGACATTAAAAATATTTTTTAAAATCAAAATTATCATTATTTTGGAGTGGGGGTGGGGGTAGTGGGGGGGGGGGGGGGTAGGAGCGAAAAAATAAAAATTGGAAGTTGATAGTATTTTTAAAAAGCAAAATTAATTTTTTGGGGGATTGGGGTGGGTGGGGGCTGGTAGGGGGGCTGGCCGAAAGGGGGGGAGGGGAGGGTAGGAGTTTAAAAATAAAAATTTGAAGTTGAAAATATTTTTAAAAAGCAAAATTAATTTTTTTGGGGAAGGGAGGGGGGGGGGGGGGCTGGCCGGTGGGGGGAAGATCAAGGATCCTGTGAAAAATAAAAAATTTGAAATTGAAAATATTTTTTTAAATTGATGTTTTTCCAAAAAAAAAAATGTAATTTGAAATTGAATGAGAGCTATGGAAAATGTTTTCCTTAATTTTTGAAGGGAAGTCATTTTCCTTAATTTTGAGGAAAATGAGTTGATTTGGAAAATATTTTCCAAAACTTTTGTCCCAACCAAACATGGGAAATTGGAAAACATTTTTCAGAAAATGTTTTCCTTCATACCAAACACACTCTCAATCAATAGAATAAGAGAAGTTTGTATTTGGAATCAATAGTATTATTGGGTTAACTGTTTCTTTCTTTTCTTAGAATTACTCTATGGTAAGGTGCATCTACAATGATTTGGTTGCTGTCTTTCACCTATCTCATAATTTCTTTGTGACTAAGGGCTCGTTTGGTACGAAAGATAAGGCATAACTAGTCTTAGGATTAATTTTAGGATGAGCTTATCCCATGTTTAGGAGGGATAAGATCTAACTTATCCCCGAGGTAGTTATCCAGGGATTTAGTGTTATTTTTATTCCACATTGAGGGTGGGATAACAATCTCGTGATAACTCGTTCCCAGCCAAACGTGCTCCTAAGAGTTTTATGATTACTATCATGCAAAATTGAAGAAAGAAATTGGCCAGAAATTAAGCAGAAAGATATTAGTTTCCACTTTCTTAATACATGAATGCTTAAGAAAGGATTTTATTCAGAACATGCATCATATTTGCTGAGACAAGATAAGTGCTCTCTGTTTCTGGAAGTATTTTACCATTTGTTTCTTCCATCTGCATGCTCTGATTTTCTCTGT